GGATCATTTGTGAATATTAATAGCATAGATCAGACATTATACAATGAAATTTTCAGATCAGGATCCAGCTAATAGCTTTTCCATACAATGGATTTATTGATCTATCGTGGTATATTTTCAATGTTTTGTATCTTTTTAACAAATGTCACACTCCAAATTTTTACTTTTTTTTTTTTCTTACTTATTCTCTCAGCTCCATATTGTTTCATGCTGATTGGTCACTTGCAATTTCATTTTCATATGCCATATTGCAAAAGAGAGAAATTAAAAAAAAATAATTTGAAAAGAAAATATTGAATCCATTGCAAAACATAGCAAAAGCACAAAACAAGTTTTAGCTGAAATTGTATGTTCTCTGACTCAGTAATAATGGCTGTCTGCTTGTATCTGTCAGTCTGCTAAACAATCCCTATTGCAGATGCCTACTCAGCCACATTTGTGTTTGTTCATTACTTATAGAAACCACTTGTGGTTTATACTGCACCTATACTGAGTGGACCGTAGTTACAGTTTTTGGAAGGGAGTGGATAATCTGGCATGTTCAACAGCTTGAACAAGTTCCATGTGTTCAAACCCTCGGTCACAATGACTTGTGACTTTGTGCTAACTCAACCCTTAGCGAATAGTTTCATCTATCCATTTTCACTTCCAAGGCTGGGTATGATTTTCAGGCACTTTCCAAAGGTGCAGCACACTGCGATCACCTTTCCAGGCCGATAACATCAAGGAGGCAGCTTCCTGACAAACCGACCATGATGAGATACAAGCCTGAGTCTCATGGTTAGAAAACAAGCTTTCTAACCATTTAGCCACATGCTCATCATTATTGAGCTAACAATTTCTGACTTAGTCTTATTTGTCAGTCAACACAAAATGATGGTTTTATTTTCATGGGTGAGACGAAATTGAACAAGTATCCTTATTTTTGTAGTTTTGATTGCTTTTAATTTTGACTAGTGTACTTTACTGCATTCCACTATTTCATCTGACAGATTACAATTTTGGAAGAGTCTCAGAATTTCAGGCAATAAGTGTTTAATAGCACTTAAGACCTTCATTTTTTACCCACAAAAAAATCTCTCAAAAATTATTATTATATAAATAGAGATATCAGTTAGGCTACTGTTTACCCAGATACCATAGACTACCAGTACTTTGCCTAACTCTATAACACTGTAATATTAAAAGCAAACTTTGGGCTAGGTCAGATGCCATCAAATACCATAGTTCAGTATGTGTCTTTTAATGCCATATGTTTAAAGAAAAATTAAAAGACACATACTGAACTATGATATTTGGGCTTTGAATTGATATTGATCCAATGCACAGGGTTCCAAAATAATGTAACAATTATTTGTGTTTATTAGTCATGGCATAAAAAAACAAACTTTCTTTGGATGAAAGAGAAAATTTTGTAGTCAATATGTTGAATATTACATCAAAACTATATTACAATATAAAATCAATACAATATAACAATGTTGTAATCAATTACAATCAATCAGCTAAATGATAATTTTTTGTATTAATCATATATATATATATATATATATATATATATATATATATATATATATATATATATATATAGTGGAAAAGGTTTTGTGCAATGCATTTCATCCTTTGGGACTTCAAGATCATCCATACTAAATTTGCATCCAGGTTCTTATAATGTTCCATCATTCTTGGCAGATCTTCTATATTATCAGAATGTGGTGTATTTATTAACAAAACTGATGGAAACCTAAAAAGAATCTATATGAAATCAGATAGATTATATACTTTTACCACTTTGTCATACTTATTTCCCTTAAAATTGTTCTTGATATATAAATAAATGCATATATATCATTATCCTATTTACATATATATATATTTATTAAAGACATTTTTATTTATGTTTAACGTTGTTATTTTATAGATACAAGTATTTAAGCAAATGCTCTGTTTATGATAAACAGTATTAAATAACATTTACCGGCCTGAATGTCCGAGAAATTTTCATAGAAAATATTCGTTCATTGACAGGATTCGAACCTGCATCCTATACGGAACCGTCATATACGCTGACGTGCCTTACCTCTGGGCCACAATGAACCTTATGGTAGACAAGGTCGAATTTACTGTTTATAAACTACAATCTTCCATGAATCTCGTACATTCATAACTGCTCTGGCGTATTGAATGTAAACAAATGACGTCATATGTTAAGAAATGGACAAGGTCCAACAATTTATTTATTAAAGACATTTTTATTTATGTTTAACGTTGTTATTTTATAGATACAAGTATTTAAGCAAATGCTCTGTTTATGATAAACAGTATTAAATAACATTTACCGGCCTGAATGTCCGAGAAATTTTCATAGAAAATATTCGTTTCATTGACAGGATTCGAACCTGCATCCTATCTGGAACCGTCATATAGATGACGTGCCTTACCTCTGGGCCACAATGAACCTTATGGTAGACAAGGTCAATTTACTGTTTATAAACTACAATCTTCCATGAATCTCGTACATTCATAACTGCTCTGGCGTATCGAATGTAAACAAATGACGTCATATGTTAAGAAATGGACAAGGTCCGACAATTACCAATTGACAAGGTCAATGAACGAATATTTTCTATGAAAATTTCTCGGACATTCAGGTCGGTAAATGTTATTTAATACTGTTTATCATAAACAGAGCATTTGCTTAAATACTTGTATCTATAAAATAACAACGTTAAACATAAATAAAAATGTCTTTAATAAATAAATTGTCGGACCATGTCCATTTCTTAACATATGACGTCATTTGTTTACATTCGACACGCCAGAGCAAAGGTGAATGTACGAGATTCATGGAAGATTGTAGTTTATAAACAGTAAATTCGACCTTGTCTACCATAAGGTTCATTGTGGCCCAGAGGTAAGGCACGTCAGGCGTATATGACGGTTCCAGATAGGATAGGTTCGAATCCTGTCAATGAACGAATATTTTCTATGAAAATTTCTCGGACATTCAGGCCGGTAAATGTTATTTAATACTGTTTATCATAAACAGAGCATTTGCTTAAATACTTGTATCTATAAAATAACAACGTTAAACATAAATAAAAATGTCTTTAATAAATAAATTGTCGGACCTTGTCCATTTCTTAACATATATATATATATATATATATATATATATATATATATGTATATATATATATATGAAGAAAAATATACTGAAAAAACAAACAAAAATCCTAATATGTGATTATGCTGTTTTAATGTTTAATGTCAACGTCGGACGTTTCGGTCTAATAGACCATCTTCAGGACATATTCATAAAACATAATTAACATGACGATGACGTGATCATATTTAAACAGAACGCTGATCTTATAAAAGATTTCAGTTATTTGTTTGGATTGGTATTGCTTTTATGTCCATCGTCTTTTTCATGTTGAATTGTATATGGTCTATGTTAATTATGTTTTATGAATATGTCCTGAAGATAGTCTATTAGACCGAAACGTCTGACGTTGACATTTAACATTAAAGCAGCATAATCGCATATTAGGATTTTTGTTTGTTTTTTCAGTATATTTTTCTTCATAATTTTGGATCTATATCCATATATTTGCTTACATATATATATATATATATATATATATATATATATAGCATAAATGAAATAAAGAAAAAATGTTTCAAAAGTGTTTCATTACAAATAAATGTATTATTTCAGAATAGAATGAACATTATACTGTAGAAATTTCAGATAAAAATTTAATGTAAGACTTGTAGATCCACCATCATATGAATATACTATCTCTCCCTGTTTTCCTTAGTATTAAAAAAGAAAAAGTTTTTCTGATTATTTTTACTAATTTGTGATGTTTCTTTTGAGAATTATGAACCGTTTCCTGTTTGCATCATTGTTGTCTCACTAATTTTTTTTTTTTTTTTTTTTTTTTTTTTTTGGTTTTAAACCTTTTGTTGTCAATTGTATTTATTTTTACCTCCCATTTTTTTGTGATGGGGAGCTATTAGTATATGTTTTTCATTTGAACGCAATGGTAATTTTTTTTTTAACCCTTAAATGGCAGACCTCATCAAATGATATGTCATCGGAGATCAGCAGATATAAATTGGTGATTTAAACTTTTAGCAATAAGATGGGTATCATCATTCATGATTTGATTCTAAATGACTAATTTGCAAATCTAGAATTCATGAGGTTACTTTGAACTAGAATTCATGAGGTTACATCATTTTCTGGAGTATTTGCCAGTAAATAAAGCTGGAAGAACAAGCCAGTGTTCTCTATGCGAGCATATTAGTGAAGAGAAAAGAGTATTGGTAACAATATTAGTAACAATTTGGTGCTAAGAATGTACAATTCCATTGTGCATGAAATGCTTCAAAGATTATCATACTCTTAAAAAATATTAAATTCAAGAATATAACATTTGTTTTATTTTTGTTTCTGTATTTTTTTTTCTTAATTTAAAAGAGTTGAAGTATTATTTTTTATAGTTTTGTATGTAAATAAGCAAAAATAAGCATAAAGCTCCAATTTAAAAATGAATTTCATCTTTTTTTTTTTTTTTTCACCTGTCTGGCATGAACATTTGTGCAACCTGTTTCTGCCATTTTTGGGTCATTTTGGTCACAGTCTTTTTTTCTGCCTTAATTCTTGTTCTTTTATTGTCCTCTCTCCTTAATAGTATATTTTGTTATTCTCTAACACTCAGTGACCCTTTGTGTCTTAGTGGCTTTATTGCTTTCCTTGAAGTGAAATAATTAAAAAAAAAAAAAAATTAATATGCTCACATACATGATAGAAGTTTTTCCTTAATTATCATTGAAAACAAATGATCAACTGTGTAAGACTTTTTCTTATCCATTTCCTATCGTCTGATTATGAAAACACACACACAGGAGAAAACTTTTGCTTCTGTTATTTTTTCCTTTGTTTACAAACTGTTTAATGTTGCTCTTTTTTTCTTCATTTTCTCTTCTAGCAAATCAAAGCAGCTGAACGATACTTAAAGCGACTTGAATTCCATTTATCAAAAGTAAGTTCATCTGTTCTTATCTCCAAAAGATTATCAACAGCTGTTTCATATTTTAAAGGTGGAATTAGGTGGAAGGCCAGAATTGTGGACCACAAGATAGATGTCAAATGCCATCTGTTTTGGTCTGGCCTTTTACTGCGGTTCTAGAAACAAGTTAATGTCACTTCAGATTGTATTCATTCCTCATCATAGTGAAACATTTTTTACCTTGTTCCCTGCTAACTGTATACAGAAATTTTAAATCTTGGCTCATGTATATTTTTGAAAGCAATTCTTTGTAAAAATGTCTTCCTCTGTGCTCCTATCTCCGAAAAGAGATAGGAGCACATGGAACATAACAGCTCCTTTGCCAAACTCTATTTTTAAATGCTGCCTTGTGTACATGTTTGAATGGTGTTCATTCTAATACTGCCTGCTCAGTCTTTCAAGAGACCACGGTGCCAGGAACATAATAGCAACTTTGACAATTCCTATTTTTAAATGGCCTGTGTATATTTTGGAAATCTTTTGTATCAATCACAAAGTGCTAATTCTGTGATAATGTATTTTATGGCAGATATTATCTGTTAGCTTACATATGCTTTCAAAGCCCATTTCCTCAGAAATATATCTGAGATTGGCTGTAAGGAAACTGATTAACACTATATATATATATATATATATATATATATATATATATATATATATGGATATTCAACTGTAGAACAAGTTTTTATGTAAATAAATAAGGGAACATGCTATACACAGATAATTTTGAAGAGGTTAAAAATCCTGCATTTTTGGTGACTAGTTGCATTATACACAGGTAAATTTTTTTCTGGAGGGGTTAAAATTTATCTAAAAAATTCAGGACTTGCACTGTACATGAAGTAGGCTTATACACAAGTATATATATATGGTTATGTAATATTTATACATGCTGTGTTCATAACACAATAAAATAAGCTTACTTTTGATTCTAGGTTAAATTGATTCTGTAATTTATATATATATATATATATATATATATATATATATATATATATTTCTCCAACCCCAGATATCTGCTAAATATTTTATTTCTTCTCTTACAGATTGATGAGTTACAAGATTGTTACATTGTCAATCAGCAGTTACGGGAAGGTGAGTGTAACAAAGGAAGATTCACTGTTCTTCAGTGATGGTCATTTCCTGGGCAGAACGAGACTTCCCTACTTTTCAACTCTTATTCGTTAATTAACAGCTGGCCACTCTTTAAAGAAAAGAAAAAAAAAATTATTTCTTATTTAAAGTTGTGATGGATCTTTTATTAAAAAAAATAAAAAAATAAACCCAATTACAATTTTTAATTATGCATTAATTTCTTCTAAATGGTGTAACAACTTATGGCCATATCACATTGAAACATTGGTTCTCATACGATCAGTGAAGTTAAGCAATGTTTAGTCTGGTCAGTACCTAGATGGGTATTTGTTTGGGAAAACTAGGTGCCGTAATCTTGGATTTGCAGGTGGTGTGTTGGATAATGGCTTGGAATTGTTAATTGGAGATCTGAATTTAGATTCCCATTCGGTTTGTGATATTCACTAATGCTCAAATACCCATGAGAAATGTATGAATTCCCTTCTCCTCTCCTCCAGGTATGGCTTAATTAGTAAAACTTTTATCAATAAATCATTATTTAAAAAATTCTTACAATCTAAAACTATTTTTTGGCTTTAAATAACTTGCCAAGGGTTGATAAACCATTAAAAATAAATCAATTTCAAGCACGATGCTTATTTCATATGGCATGTTTATTATTTTTAGATAATTATTTAAATAAAGAAATAATTATCTAAAAATAATAAACATGCCATATGAAATAAGCATCGTGCTTGAAATTGATTTATACAGGGGTTGGACAAAATAATTAGAACAAATTAAATTCAATATATTTAATATGGAATTGGTCCTCCTTTAGCCTCACAGACAGCTTTAATATGTCTAGGAATGGAATCATACAGCTTCCTGACTTCATCCAGAGGAATTTTAAGCCATTCTTCCATTAAAACCTTCTTCAGCTCTTTATGACACGATGGTGGAGGATAGCGGCTCCTAACTTGTTGCTCCAAAATGCACCACAAATGTTCAATAATATTGATATCTTGAGATTGGGGAGACCACTCCATGTGTTCTAGCTCACTTTCATGCTCTTCATACCAATTCTTAACCACTCGAGCGGTATGTATTGGAGCATTATTGTCTTGGAAGATACAGTCACCATCAGGGAATAAAGTCTTGGCCATTGGATAAACATGATCTCCCAAAATGTTCGGGTAATCTTTGCTGTTGATTCTACCATGCAGGGCAACTATTGGACTGAGACATTTCCATGATATGGCGGCCCAAACTATCACTGATCCACCTCCATGCTTCACTGTTGGAAGAAGGCAGTCAGGGTTGTAAGCTTCTTTGGGCTGCCTCCACACATGAACTTGCCCTGAAGTTGGGAAAAGAGAAAAACTGGACTTGTTTGAGAATATGACTTCCTTCCATTGGTCTGCAGACCAGACATTGTGATCTCTGCACCACTTCAACCTCTTTTGAATGTTGTGAGTAGGGAGAAGTGGTTTCCTCACAGCGTCTCTTCCATGATATGCAAACTTATGGAGCTCATGGTGAACAGTTTTAGTAGAAACTGAACTATTCAACTCAGCAGTCACTTTGGCCGCATTTGTCCGATAATTTTTTGCCACATGGTGTTTCAATGCACGTCAGTCCCTGTCAGTAAGTTTGCAATTCCAGCCCTAATTGCTACGGTTGCTAGAGGTTTTGTCCTGTTTCTCGAATTGCATCAGTGTTCTTGATGTGGTAGCTCTTGATAAACCAAACAGTTCAGCAACCTTAGTGATCGAGGCTCCTGCCATGCGAGATCCAACAATTTACTCTTTTTCAAACTCGGAGAGGTCACGCATTTAGCTTAAATTTTACTAAATTCTAAAAATAAATAAGACAAAGTAAATTAGATACATATACGTATTTACAATAGATATAACCTGTAATTACGAAGTTTTAGTTAAAGTTCTTAATATAATAGTTGTTTGAAATATAGGAGTGGATTTTGCAACTGTTCCAATTATTTTGTCCAACCCTGTGTGTGTGTGTATATATATATATATATATATATATATATATATATATACACACACACACAGTGGGGGGAAATAAATATTCGTACACTTGAAAAATTGTATTTTTATAAATGTAAAAGCCTTAAATAAAACAAATCTCGGCACATTTTATGTATAAAGACGCATACTATTAAAAAATAATAATAAACTTAATTAATTTTTATTCTAACAGAAATTAATGCATTTTTTAAATTCTAACTAGTGAAAAAAGTATTCATACAAATCAATTATTAGAATAAAATAATCAATTAATTATGAAAAAGTATATTCTAGAATATTCCAGTAATGTTACCAGTAAGTATAGTTAACGCTATTAGCCATTATCAGAGCATTCTGCAATTTCTAGTTTTACGAGAAGGTTCTAATAATGCCTAAAGGTAAAGAATTGACTATTTCACAAAAACAACACATTTTGTCTCTTTGGAAAGATGGGAACAGTTACAGAATGATTTCTAACAACCTGAATATTCCTTTTACTACAATTGCTTCCTTCATTGCAAGGTTTAAAACTTGTAACAGCGTCGAAAACCAAAGACAAACAGGTGCTCTGAGGAAGATTTCTCTAAGATCAGCAAGGGTATGTTAGGACACCAGATCCAACAAAATCCACAGGTTACCTGAGAAGAGCTGCAGGAACATCTGCATGCATTAGGGATTAAAGTAACCAAGTGTACAATAAGTAATGAACTACACAAAAACAGTCTGAAATCACGCATCTCAAGGAAGACTCCACTCCTCTTGAAACGACACAGAGATGCTAGGCTAAAATTCGTTAGAGAGCATAAGGATAAAGAATATTCATTTTGGGAAAAAGTACTATGGACAGATGAAACTAAAATAGTTGTTTGGTCATAATTATCGAAATCATGTGTGGAGGAAGGACAGTGAAGCCTACTTATCAAAGAACACATTGCCAACTGTAAAGTTTGGTGGTGGCAGCATCATGATCTGGGGCCGTTTTTCTGCAAAAGGTGTTGGCAGAATATCAATAATAGATGGCAAGATGAATGCCGAAAGATACCAGAAAATCCTGCAAGACAATTTAATGTGTTCTGTTGAGAGACTTTGGCTACCTCCTGATTGGGTTTTCCAACTGGATAATGATCCTAAGCATACTGCTAGATCTACAATGGTTAGCTGAAAGTAACGTTGATGTTTTGCAATAGCCAAGTCAGTCCCCAGACTTGAACCCAATTGAGAATTTATGGCGATATTTGAAAATTCAAATTTGGAAAAGAGCACCAACAAATATCAAGAGTTTGAAGACAATATGCCAAGAAGAATAGGACAAAATACCACTCAATGTGTGCAAATCATTAGATGAGACGTACAGGAATAGACTGGTAGCTGGTGAACTCAATAAAGGATATTCCACAAAGTATTAAGTTAATATGCTTTTTTTGTTTTGTACGAATACTTTTTTCATCAGTTAAAATGAAAAAAGTGCATTAATTTCTGTTAGAATAAGAATTAATTAAGTTTATTACTATTTTTTAATAAAATGTATCTTTACACATAAAATGTATCAAAATTTGTTTTAGTTAAGGCTTTTACATTTATAAAAAAAATTTTTCATGTGTATGAATATTTATTTCCCCCCCACTGTATACATATATAAAAATTTTTAAAAATAAATAGAATTAAAAAAAAATAAATAGCAAAAATTTTACTAAAAGAACTTTAGTAATCAATAACTTTAATTTTTTTTCTTTTTTCTAGTTGAATCTCAACATTTAATTCAGTATTATTCACATCCCGGCTGAAGTATACTGAAGACTAGTTTATTCATTTATTAAGTTAGGCTATTTATAGGAAAAAATTGGATCACAGGAAGTTAAGATAGATTTATTAAAACTAGAAGTTTTATTGGTTAATACATATATTTCCCAGTTTTTAATATTGATTTTTAGGAGGCAAAAGATGGTTAATCATTTTCCTGGATGTGAGCTTTCATTTTTTGAGCATATGACACAGAAATGATTGTCCCCTTTTTTTTTTCTTTTTTTTTTTTTTTTTTTTTTTTTTTCAAGGCTTTTGAGCTGTCTCTCAAACAACATCACTGATTGGTCAATAGATGCTAATGTAAAAATTTGAATTTGACATTCATATGACCTTATTTTTGTACAGAATTGAGATCTTAGTTATGCTACTTAAATCTATTAAATTTTTTTTCTATAATTTTTAACTGGGTTCTACATATGTATATTAAATTGATATAAAAGTTTCTGATGGAATGTTTATTTAAACTAGCATACTTATTTTATACATTGCAAAATTCCCAGACAGCACTTGTATTAGGTTTAAAAAGAGTATTCTATGGATGCTCTATTTTTTTTTCTTTTTTATTTTATTTTACAATTTTTTTTCTTTTTTATATCAGGATGTTGTTTACTAGGTTCTGCCTAGATCCCATTTACTTGTAATGGATTTAAATATATATCCACGCCCAAAATATTTGTACATTTAGAATTTGCAACCGAGGAAGGAAAATTGCATTTATTTTCAGTTCAGATTACGTTTCTAAGAATACCTGTCGATACATGACATAATATTGGCAAAATCTCTCCAAGATAAAGAAATTTCTGACAACTCCTCAGCCAGTTCTAAGATGTTAAGATCTATTTATATTTCAAGTGTCTATTTCCAGCTAATTGTTAATTGAAGCAAGAAATGGCTTGCTGGTTTTAATGCCTCCAAAACTAAACTTCTCTCTCTTAATTTTTCTGAGATAACCTTTCTTCTGACTTCATCAACATGGCTGATGCTAACCATCAAGAGAACAACTCATTGCACCTTCTCAGTCTAATCTTTTCCATTGATATGAATTAAACTAATTATATGAAGTTCATTGCTATATCTACTGCTAAGAAAGTTGGTTCACTATGTCATGCTACATAATTTTTCTCAACCAAATCTTTCTTGCACCTTTTATAAGTCTTTAATTCATTTCTGCATTGGATATTGCTGCCACATATGGTCTGGTGCTTCTGCCATGTACTAGAGATTCCGGACAAAATCCATAGTAGAATAACTTGGTATCTTGACTTCAATCATTTTCTGTGGTTTACAAGTTAAAAAAAAAAAGCAGCTGAGAGTGGGTGTATCAATGCAAAGTAAGGCTTGAATTTCCTTCTCCCAGGATTCTTATTCCTTATTCTCAAATCTCCTCCTTCCTCTGTCTCTTAAAACCATTCTTGTATGTTCCTTTTTTTCTCATGGCAAGCACATTGCTTCTTCCTATGAGTCTCTCAAAACCATTCTTGTATGTCCCTTTTTTCCTCATGACAAGCACATTGCTTCGTCAAGCTCACCAGAGTGACAAAATCCTTGACTCCTTTTTCAGTTGAGTTTTATAGTTTCTTTCTTCCTTCCTGTAATTTGTCGTCTTCTCTGGTTTGCCATAATGTCTCTCAATAAAAGAAATCACCTGTCACCATTTCTTCTCCCTCTGCCATGAGATAAGTGACATTCCATTTTGACTTCTTCCTTTCATTTAAACTACACTTTCCTACCACCATAATAATATAGATTCCCTATTCCTTTTCTATAATTATTTTCATAATTGTTCTAATGAGTTTTCCTCTTTCATACTTTGACTTCATGAATTTAAGTATAGTGCTAGATTGGCAGCTAGGTCTCCTCATTTTACTGTTGAAATCGCTAAATGTAACCCTAAGTTCTATTCTCATAGTTCCTTCTCTCACACTTCTCACCTGTGGAATTCTCTTCCAGATTCTTTCTTTCCTGTCAACTACAATATTTACAAATTTAATTGCAACATCATTTGTCATCTTTTGTTTCCTTATGTCTTGTCATTTTTATTTTATTTTCTTTTTGGTTTTCACAGTTTCCTTCATACTCATTAACCCCTTGTGTCTTAGTGGCTTTATCACCTTGCTTGGTGTAAAATGATTAAAAAAATTTAAGTGTCTGTCATTTTTAATTTTTAGTCCTGGGTATGGCAATAACCTACATTTGGCAGCAAGACCTCTAATTGGGAAATTGGAGATTTTGAGGGGCATCTGAATTGCTGTTTTTCCCAGTTTCCTTCTGACCTGGGGTGGTAGCACCTGTTAGGGTCCCAACTATGGGCAAATAGTAAACCCCCTTAGCAAAAACAAAACAATATGAAAATATAAAAATACATTTTCTAATAATACCAGCATTATATTTTTATATAAAATAAAATTACCAATAATACATTTTATAGCAAAATTACCAACAATACATTTTATCTGCAGTTGAAGGCATACAATTGCATTTAAAATATATTTAGTTGAAGCCATAGAATTGTGTTCAAATCATTTAGATTTCAGCATTAAATAACAATGGTTGATATGCTGCTAAAAATCAACTAAACAATTTTAAATTTTTGCATCTTACAAGGCATTAGTAATGCCATGTTGGTAGTAGAAGAGGTTAAGAAACCCTAGCAACATATGGTGGCTAATATATATATATATATATATATATATATATATATATATATATATATATATATAATAAAATATATATATATATATATATATATAAATAAAAAGAAACATAGTTAGAACGGTTAGCTTAAAAAAACATTTTAAATCAATTTATAATATATATATATATATATATATATATATATATAAATAAAAAATAAAAGAAACATAGTTAGAACTGTGTAGCGAAAAAAAACATTTTAAATCCATTTTAATATATATATATATATATATATATAAATAAAAAGAAACAGTTAGAACTGTGTGAAAAAAAAAATTTTAAATCCATTTATATATATATATATATATATATATATATAAAAAGAAACATAGTTAGAACTGTGTAGCAAAAAAAACATTTTAAATCAATTAATTTATAATATATATATATATATATATATATATATAAAGGATTTGAGTCACATGATAAAATGGACAATGTTTGCATATAAGAAAATATTGATACCCTTCTTTAAGGACAAGTAAAACTTCACGTATATACCAAGTTTGATCGTTTTGGTTTTTAGATTTGGAGACAAAGACGATTTATATTGGATAAACATTGATGCCACATATTTTGAATTTTTCTTTTTAGGTGCTCGCAACATGGCTAGAGCATACGCAAACACACCAGGTTATAAGAAAGGTTCCCTCACCAGTGTTAAGTACGGTTTCAAGGAATGCTCTCAGGTATGTTATTCTCCTCTCATTTGATGACATTTATTTGTGTATTTATTTATTTATTTTTTTTTTTTTTCAAACATCAGTGAAGGATTTTGTTCAGAAAATTATTTTTTTGCTATCAATACATGCAATACCAAAATCTAAAGGCGTCCTGGGTATGACAATAAACTACATCTGCATCCAGGGTAAGACGATAAACTACATCCAACAGCAAGGCCTATGATCAGGAGGCTTTGACAAGTGTTCAACCACCTTTTAATTGCTGGTGTTCCCAGGTCCACTCTGACCCGGGGTGGTAGCACATGTTAGGGTCCCAGCTATGGGCAAATAGTTAACCACCCCCAAACTGAGGTAAAAAGCATTATAAAAGTGTAAAAATAGGTTTTAATTACCAGGAATACTTTGTAAAAAATTATTACCAGAAATGGATTTTTGAAGGAAAAGAAATATTACCAGCAATATGTTTTTGGAAAAAAACTATTACCAGCAATACGTTTTTGAAAAAATATTACCAGCTATATGTTTTTGATAAAATAATATTACCAGTTATATATTTTCGAAAAAATAATATTACCAACTATACGTTTTTGAAAAAATAATATTATCAGCTATACATTTTTGAGGAAAAAAAATATTAACAGAAATAGATTTTTGACAAAACAAAAATATTACCAGGAAAAAAAAAAAAAATAGTTGTCAGCATTAAATGACCCATTGAGGTTGATATGCCGTAAAACAAAACAAAACAAAACAAACCAACCAAACCAAAATCCAAAGGTGTATAGTGTCAAATAGTTATATACGTATCTAGAAATATATATATATATATATATATATATATATATGTGAGAGAGGTTTTAACTTCACGACTCATTAGCTCACAATTAGTGACCTTATACCCTGGTTGCAAGCAGCTCTTGTTTCTGATTCGCTTGCTAGACTATGATATTCATATCCTGATTGAAACAGTTTCTGATAAGTTGGTCAAAATATGACTTCATGGCTTAACAGTTCTGAATATACATCTATTTTTAGAGATGGTGAAATTCTGGTTTCCTTGTTATTATTTGTTTATTTTTATTTATTTATTTTTCTATCAGTACCAACCTACCGAAACATTGCAAAGAGAATTTGTTGCTTTTTGGTAGTAGGGAGATTTATTAAAAATTGATTTAATCTATTCTACCCAATTTGCAGAAATATCCTACTGAAATTTTGGCAAAGATTAATAAAATTGCTATCATTTTTTTTTTTTTTTCTCCAGACAATGTGCGCCATTGAAGCTCAGTTGGAGAGCATGATGGGAACATTCCATTGCAAATTGAAAGGTACATTTACTTTATTAATGTCAATACTAATGTTAGTAATGAATATTTTCTAACTAAATACATCTGTGATTTGCTAACCAATTTAAAATGAATATTTTTGTAGCTGAATATGTGTTTTGTGTAACAGTAATTGGCACAAAGAAGAAAATTGCTTAGTTTAAATTCTGGTTTACTCAACATTTTTAACAGCATTTTTCATGGTTTATCAACACTTTGTGGATTATTTAAAGTTGAAACGTATTTTGGTTTGTAAGAATTTTTTTATGCGAATGAACATTGCATTAAACTTTTTTGTTTTTTGAGAATAACCATGACCAGATACAGGTCCTACTATTTAACTTATAGCTGGGGAACTGTCAGAAGAAATATTGATATTTTTGTTAGTTTTCATGAACTATTTCTACATTTATGTATCTCTCTTGTGTGTGTGTGTGTGTGTGTGTGTATATATATATATATATATATACACACATACACACAAACACAGAGGGGTTATTCAAAAAAAGATTTTGAAAACTTAATAAAAAAATATACTAAGAGACAGAAACACATTAAATAAATTACCAACAAAAAGAAGCATTTAAACAAGATTGAAAAAAAAATTCATTTATTTGACTAACTTTGAACCTTTTCCTATCTAGTGTTTGTCTTTTAGCATATTTTATTACATTTTTGAAATCTGCTCTTTCTTTTTGAATAACCCTATATATATATATATATATATATATATATATATATAATATGTTTGAATAAAAGACAGACCACGTTAAGATTCCATGTAATAAGCTATTTCACCATAACCCCTTTAACAGGGTTCTGGATCATCAGACTTTACTTCCAAAAGCTAAAATGAAAAGAAATTCACACGTTTTTGACGGACCTCATCAAGTATACGTAAAATTAACGAAGTGAGGGAGTGAGGTGGGAGAGAGGATATGAGTATGTCATATGTATCATTTCAGTTTCCTATTTTTAACCCCAGTGTGTTGGCTAGATGTTGCTCAAATTTAACGCGTCTCGTCTCTAGATGGCTAAGGGGGAAATGATAAGAACAACATTAAAGGAAGAAGTTACAACAACCCCAATCAATTACATGACAGGTTTCAATCAAATTCTTAGACGCTGTTAATTCGCGTTACTTTAACGTGCATATTTGGGAGGTTAAGGTTTGATAAATATCTAAATGTGTTTTAACATTTAGATATTTATCTACGAAGAAATTAATTTGAAATTCGGTGGAGTTTTGGGTATTTTCTATGAAACAGTCGATTGGAAAAATTCATAGACAGAACATTGAAAGAGTAATCCATTTTATATTTAGTAATCTTTTTTATTCCACTAAAACTTTTATCTTATTGCTTGTTAGGTTGACATCTATTCGTTTGATTTTTGTTCATTAAGTAAACTCATGATTGTTTTTGATTTTTGTTCATTAAGTAAACTCATGATTGTTTTTATGTACCCAATTATCAACGGTTATTCCCATTTAAATAATTTTATTATCAACACTGGGGTAGTATATTTCAATCTCAATTAAAATACCAATCTAAACTTTACCTTTGTGCTATTTAAAATTCACTTCCAATTGGAGAATATTAGAGGAGAGATTTGGAAGAGATGTCACTAGCAGAAAATTAGGTCCATCTTTTACAATCTTTTATCTACACATGTCTTAAACCCCTATTTATATCCACCTATATCTTCTTATATGCCTATGAGTTCCTATATACACCTACACACACATTCACATGAAAAAACCATATGTATATTTCCATATTTACACATATACACCTGCAGAGAAAGCGCACATCCACATATCTCCATACCTATCTCCATATATACTTATACTTACATATATACATATACACACAAGGACATCTGTATATCCATATACATACGCACATATATATTTACACACCTATATGTATACACATACACACACACACATATATATGCATACATACATACACATACATACACCCATACATGCATATGCATACGCAATATGCAGTATATCTACATACCCACATATGCGTTAATTTGCACTTACACATATCTACACACGTACTTGTCCCTATCCTCATGCCCACCTGTGCATCCACTTATGCCAGCGTTTGAAATGTGTAGGATAAGAAGTCTACATACATATACTAGCACATACATATAAATATATTTCTTCCTCAGGTGTTCTAAATACAGTGCACAATGTTATGAAACGGAGCTATAAGTATATATTTGTGAATGCATATAATATCCAATGTCAATAGCATGACTCATATTTGCACTTGAAGATTGCAAGAACTGCATGAAACTGAGTTGTGTTATTGATGTTGGATATTATGCATATTCACTAATATATATATATATATATAAAAGTGAACATAAAGTCAACACTTAGAGGCAACAGTCTTTCAAATCAATCAAACGGCCACATATGCTTTTACCCAAATAAATAAACAAATATATCCGTAAAAATAGTGCATAATAGATTCTATTACAATGCATTATTTAACCGGAAGTATATATTTATTTATTTGGAAAAAATCATCATATGTGGCCTGGACGATTTGCATATAGCATGAAACAGACCAAATAAATGTTGACTTTATGTTCACTTTTTATATTTACACACGCCTATCTCTGATATTGAGCACTTTATCCCATAAATATAGCACACCTTAAGACTATATTTTTTTATATATATATATATATATATATATTTATATATATATATATATATATATATATATATACTCATGTTTAAGTAGACACCCCAATTTTAAACAATATGAATTATGTGCATTCAAGAGACTTAATAAAGAAAATGTGCTCTCCGGTAGTGTTTGAACATGCAGACTCCTTTTTAGTACAAACCATTCTATGATCTGGCATACTTTCTGCAGCCAAGCAATTTCAAGCACCACTGCCTTAGTGGTTTTAATAAAACCACTAAGGCACAAGGATTTACCAATTGTGAAAGAATATGAAAAAAAGAAATCATTAAAGAGATAGAACACTAAAAGAACAGGAATTAATTGTGAAAGCAATATTCAATACATGGACAATTGCTAGACTTATAAATGTGTAAGATAGATTCTGGCAGGAAATATTGTCTAGCCAAACAAAGTGGACTGCCTTCCCTCGCAGCAGACCTAGAAATTGATTCCAATATAAGCTTTTCACTTCCATGTCAGTATAAAATGCTAGCCCAAGTAGGCACAGTGAGTCCTTTTCTTGAAGGTCATCAATGGTCATGCTGATGGGAGTAAAAAAAATCTGGTTTTCTCAGACAATATTAGAGAGCAGTTTTGTTTGTTTTCTGATTTTGTATCTTTGTTAATTTCTTCAATGTAAAATGGTTATTCTTGCTCAGAAGCTTATCTTGTCGACTTTGATGGCACAGATATGAAACCAAGGAAAGGAAAACTGTTCAAACTTTTTAAAGAAGCTTGTTTATCAATCTTCCTTGATATATTTTAAATCAATCTGTCCTAATAAGTTTTTGCTTCTATTTGAAATTAAACATGGAATTCACTATGTCAACATGACTAAAACATGTTCCATGAATACATTGGCTTACTGCCACATCATGTTGAGACACCACTTCCTCTACAATCACTGAAGTTAAGCAAAGTCGAGCCTGGTCAGTATCTCAATTGGAGACCGCTTGGGAATATCAGGTGCTGTAAGCTTGGATGTTCAGGTGGTGTAATGGATGATGGCTAGGAATTGTTAATCAGAGAGTTTAGTTTCAATTCCAGTTGGGTTCATTATATTCACTTGTGTGCAAATACTTTGGGAAAGGTATGAATCCACTTCTCCCCAGCTATGGGTTAATTAGTAAGACTTGTGTAACTAAATAAGATGCAAAGGGTTGATAAACCATGGAAAATAAATCTATCATACCATCAATACATTCAGAGAGAAAGTACTGTCCAATATTTGATTGAAATCTACATAATTGAATTTAATTATATTTATTGATTAATGCCTAGAGTAGCAATTATCACAAATTACAATTTCTTTATTACTGTTGTTCTTATTATTATTACTATTATTATTATTATTCTTATTATAATAACTCTCTAAGTCTTGAAATGATATTTGCTTTATCTATTTGATATATTTTTATATGTATTGAATTTAAAAATTAAATTCAAAATAGTCATATATGTCTATTGGTTGTTTTAAGTGACAATGTCTGGGTCAGAATGACTTTTTGTGTTTAGTTGTCCATTTAGATTTTAATTAGAATAACTTTTTAGAAGGTAAAAATATAGGTGTATGTGCTGATGCTGACATTCACACACAGAAAAATAGAAAGGGGCATAAGTTTAAGGATATGTCTTCTCACTGGACTTAGTCAACCTTGACAGTGAGGCAATCCTTAGAGAACTAGAAGTCCTATCAGGATGCATTATTGGTAATCACAGTCTTAACAATATAAGATACGCAGATGACACTGTTGGTAATAGACATGGAAAATATTGGAAAAAATGGAGAAGAAAGGACTATGGTTCTCTGCAAATGGAACAAACCAAGATTTGAACTATGAATTGGAAATACAAAAATGAAACAACTACAAAAATTAATATATTAGGAAATATTTTATCAGAGGGTGGAAAATATGACACCAAAACTTTGAAGGCACATTAGAATAGCAAAAGATGCTTTCCAAAAGTTAAGCAAAGTATTAAGAAACAAGAAAATTTCATTAGAAACAAAGAAAAGAGTAATGTAATGCTGGTCCTCCAGTATGGCAATGAACACTGGCCAATCTCCTAAGATGAAGATGTGACTTGAGGCAATAGAAATTTGGTTCTACAGAAGGATGCTGAGAGTACCAAGGATTGACCATGCGAGCAGTGACAGTTTTAGAGAAAAAGGAAAGAAAAAAGAAAATTAGAAAGATAAACAGAAAATTTAAATTTTTACAGCACATGAGGAAAGAGAACAATGAAAATTTAACACTCACATGGCATGTTGAAGGGGAAGAGGAGCAAAATAACCTAACGAATTTGTGTAAATGGTTGGTAGAACAGAGATTAGGAGAGTGAACAAAAAGACAAACCTTGCTAAGATCTACAAGGGACAGTAAGTTGTGGAGAACCATGTCCCTAAAGGATATGACACATAGAAGAATATCTCCGTATGTGTTTGGGGAAAGAAAAACAACCTTCTCTTTAATAAAACCTATTTTTGAAAGTCTTTAATGGAAGAAGTAATGGAGTTTGTTACTGAACCAAAACTGATGCAAATATAGAAAAAAAATTGAATGCTTAATTAACAAACTTTATATATATATAGGTGCAAAAATAATGTCGTTAAGTTGAATGTCAAAAAACATTATTTTTGCACCAACCTATATATATATATATATATATATATATATATATATATATATATCCTCCCCCAAAGTAAAAACAAGATGTTGATTTGGTTATTTTGATGTTGTCCATATGTATTAAAAAGAAAAGTTGTAGCACTGTTTATTTGTTTCTTGAAGAGGGCTATATATTTGTAGTGGAAAGTTTGTGTTCACATTAAGTTTTTCCCAGATAGATGTTATAGTTATATTGTGCTGTATGTCGTATGTGGTTCACTTGGGGACTAAAAATCTATTAGAGAGGAAAACGACACATTGTATCACTACGACATCCTATATATATGAAGAAAGAAAGAGGGTTTGTGCCTTTGCCTTTTTTTTTTATTGCTTTATACAACGTCACCTAGTAAGAATTAAGAGAAGTCCCCTGAAAGACAAGTTTGGGTAATCTGACAATGCTTTTAAGATACTGTTGACCCTTCCTATCCTGGGTAAGGCATAAAACTATGTCCAGCAGCAAGGCCTCTGATCAGGAGGTTTTGAGGAGCATGGAATCACCTCTTAATTGCTGGTGTTTCCAGGTCAACCCTGACCCGGGGTGGTGACACCTGTTAGGGTCCCAGCTATGGGTAAATAGTTAACTATTACCAGCAATACTTTTTAGAAAAAATTATTACCAGCAATACAATTTTGAAGGAAATATATTACCAGAAACAGATTTTTGACAAAACAAAATATTACCAGCAATAAAAATTTTTGTCAGCATTAAATAACCCATTGTGGTTGATATGCCGTAAAACAAAATAAACCAAACCAATCTAAACCAAAGAATACATACTCTATTTATATGAATCTATCCTAAAAATGATGTCGGCATTAAATAACCCATTGAGGTTGATATGCCGTAAAACAAAATAAACCAAACCAATCTAAACCTGTTGACCCTTCTTTTACAGGAAATGCAAATTCCACATAAAGAAACAATGTAGGCCTTTTTTTCTTTTTCTTTTTTTTTTTCTTATTTGTTTATTTTTTATTTATTCGCTGTATACTTTTTATTTCTTAAAGGTATGGCTGGTTTTGCTCGTCTCTGTCCTGGTGATGTATTTGAAGTGACTATGCGTTATGGCAGTCAGAAATGGAAAGCGAAAGGGAGAATTGAAAAAGACGGATCTCAACGATGGGATGTGGCGGATTACATATTCAAGACTTTAGTTGGTGACATCATCAGTCTAAAAGTAAGCAAATGTTTTTAATCACCACTCAATTGTTTATTTTCTTTTTCTTTACAGATTTTGATAGCTTTTGAGTTGGTTTGTATTCAAAAGTTGCCAATAAAAAAAAAAAAAAATTTTCTAAGTTCACTATATATATATATATGGATGACTATATATATATATATATATATATATATATATATATATATATATATAGTCATCCACAGACAGCCTGTTTTGCTGTATCACAGTTCATCAGTGTGACTAGACATCCAATTGCTTCAAGCCATGATTGAAACTCAACTGATTTCACCTCAGTCAGAGACTCTTACCCTTAGGCTATTGGCACACAGCAGAGAAAGAATTTTTAACACATTATATCCATGGTATATAAATGCCATACCAGCTACTATAGCACTCAATTCTTACAAAGAGTAATGTATTAAAGCAGTGGCAGCCATTAAAAATTTCCTTTTCTCCATAGTGCGAACAAGTGAAAATAGTAAGTAAAGATAAAACAAAAACTTATCTTAACCAACGCGTTTCATCCTGTGATGGACTTTATCAAGGCAAAATTTTATTTTACAACAAGTATTTATAAACAAGTAAAAATGTTTTTATTTTTACAGAATTTTTTAAATTAAGAATGCTTATAAATGTACTTCAGGCTAAGTGAAAGTCAAAGTAAACTTTCTATGTCTATATTCCTGTCCAGGCAGTATTTAAGCTTTTACACTCATTGCCAACCTTGATAGTGGTCATTTGTATGTGTTGATTCAAATTCATAGGATAGGCTACTAAGAACATCCTATCTCCCCACATTTATAGACAAATCCTACAGATGCATGCTGGGATTTCTTCCTAACCAATAAAAAAATAGACAGTTCTCAGTCTCATCCCCACAAAATTTTATTTTTGTTGTTTCTTCTCTTGAATTCAGAATGCTATAACCATTGCACTGTGTCTTTTGTGTGAGGACACAATTCTTATTTTGAGAACTTTATGCCTAACTACTATTGGCTATTTTGACTTGGATATATATTGTTTGCTTAGTATTATTTTACCGTTTCTTTTTCTTTTCGTATTGTTTATTGAGAACTTTGTCAATTATACTTAATTGTGGCCAATTATTCCACTAATATATATATATATAGGTCAGTACTGATAAAGCGCAGTAGATGGGGTAAAAAACTTCTATCCATGGTTTAGATCAAAAGTGAACCACAATATCAGGATTGCCAGATTAGGCCATCAAAACAAAGCTTGTCAAGTTCATGAAGTTATCCACAAAAATGAGCAACACGGTGGTTAAGCATGCCAAATGCATATTCAGCACTAAGAGTTGAATATTGGCAGTTTTGAAAAACATTTATTAAAACTATCCTTTAATTTCGTATTAAAATCTTCACCAATATGAAAAAATTTGAAAGACAACTGCCTAAAATACTTCCAATTATAAAGCGCCATGTCAATAGATCCATCAATGACAGCAAAAGATGGCAGAAATCTCGTACGCACAAGATTTTAATATTTTAACAGGAAAAAAATAAAATTAATTTTTTATAGTTTTATAAAGATTTTGAATATGAACATGACAAAATATTTGGGGGTCCATCACACATGCACGGCTTAAGCAACATCGTGGTTTATTGGTGTGCGGCTTAATGGCACTGACCTGTGTGTATGTGTGTGTACACACACACATACACACACACACTAGCTATCGGGCAGCATTTAAGCTAGCTCCTGTGGAGCACTCTTAATTGGGCCTTCATCACAATAGGTAGCAAGGAGTAGATGCAATAGGCAACAATAAACAAGAGAACTCAAAATTGTTCTCTGCATTTAAGTATTGCATTAAAGTCTAGGCTTACCTTCTAAAAGTTCAATGATAATTCTTTTGCTGCCACTTAATTTAAATACAATTTGATGTATTTAGGTCCTTACTTTACATACAAACAATTTTATTTCATGGGTGACTTTTGCTGGATTTCACAATAAATCATGTAAAAAAAAAAAAATTGCCAAAAATCAATTGCGACAATGAAAACTTGAGAATCCACAATTTCAGGATTGCAGGTCTGGATCCAACCCAGAATGTTTTTAATTTGCTCACAGAGTCTGCCTGATTTCAAAATGGTATAATATGTTGGGTTATGGCCTCTAAAAGTAAAGTTGAAAAAGTATGACACACTGACATTTGCATATATATATATATATATAAAAAACAAACAAAAATCCTTATATACAATTATGCTGTTTTAATGTTAATATGTCAACGTCGGATGTTTCGGTCTAATAAACCATCTTCAGGACATATTCATAAATTATAATATTATCAATACAACATGACAAAGACGATGTACATAAGAACAAGACTTATCCAAACAGATAACTGAAAGTTTTATAAGATCAGCGCTCCGTTTAAAACATGGTCACATTGTCGCCACGTGAACGACGCTGTGAAAACGTTGACATATTAACATTAAAACAGCATAATTGTATATAAGGATTTTTGTTTTTTTTTTCCGTATATATTTTTCTTCATACTGTCGGATCTATATCCATATATTTACACACACACACACATATATATATATATATATATATATATATATATATATATGTGTGTGTATTTAGGCAGCAAATTCTCTTTTAGACATGTCTGATTGAATAAATTACAAACACTATGTCTGGTTGTTTTTATCATAATCGTTCCATATTCATGAATATATATTGTAATATATGCAAATATATACAGGTAGACTATGGATTTTTCTGGAAGTATAGGTTTCAAAATTATGCTGGATTATTTGGAATAACAGAAATCATGTTGTAACAATTCAATAATACATTTTGACCCACTAATTCTGTATCTGTAGTATTAGTGAATTTGTATTTGACAATTACAGGAAATTCAAATGCTTGCTCATAATTTTGACCCGATTAAAAGAGATTCCAGGCCATCTGTTGCTAGAGAATTAGTAGTGCACCTGTATTTCTTCCTGCTTACCTTTTTCTTTGTTAATCTTTTGTATTTGAATTTCAAACCAATCTTTTTCTTTTTTTCTTCCTTTTTTAGGCAGTAGAATTACGCAGTCTGAAATCCGTTCTGTTGGGAGAGAAGAAATGTGAAACAAAAGACTTGTTTTCTGCCAACCCCCAGATGATGACCGTCAGCATTAACCCAAATGGCTCTCTGAAGCTTAGCATCATAGTAACTTGGAAGTAAGTGAAACTCTTCTTTATTTTTTTATTTTTGATCTCATAAATTTTTTTTTTTTTTTTTTTTGATCTCATGAATTTTTTTTTTTTCCAAACACTTCTATAAAAAAAACTTTCATTTCACACAAAAGCAAACCTTACTGGAATATTGAAAGATAATTTAAGTTTAAAATTTAAAGGTCTTAAAAATGTTTTTATTTAAGCATTTTTGTTTTTACCATTAATATTATATATGTAACATAATGTGTCATATTATATATAAATGAGAAAACTCCTTGGCATTTTCTATTCAGAACAAAAAACCAAAACGTGTGTTCTGATGAGCAACAGTCTTTAGTCCTACTACCCAGCAGCATGCAGAAGGAGGGGAAGAGGGTGGGGTAGTTTTGGGTATCTATCTCAGGAAGGCATCCAATCAAAGAGTGAAATAAAAATTTAGTTTTTTAAATTGTCAGTTAACTTTGTTTTAAAAGCGCCCTAAAGTCCTAAAAGCTGGTGTGAATGTGGATCCATGTTTTGATAAGTGAGACTGGAGTAGGCCCGTCAGTATTTGAGTCTTAGGGGTATACAATTGAGGAGTTGGCCCTGGGCATCACCAAACCTATGCACATCATCCCTGGACTTTACAGCTGGACTCTACCATGCCTCATACACAAGGGTGAATTATCTTCATTCCCTTCATATTCCAATAGTAAGAAGGAAGTTCCATTTGGACAGCTTCTCCCCCAAGAACAAACACTTGACATGTCACATAAAAAAAATTTTTCCCACTTTGTCATAGATTTCCCTAATATATATATATATATATATATATATATCCACTTTGTCATAGATTTTCCTAATAAAATATATATATATATATATATATATATATATATATATATATATAGTCATCCACAGACAGACTGTTTCGCTATATCACAGCTCACCAGTGTAGCTAGACATCTGATTGCTTCAAGCCGGGATCGAAACCCAGCTGATTCGGCAGCAGTCAGAGATTTTCCCCCCTAAGCTATCGGCACACTTGAAAGAAAGGCGAATTTTATGTACTAATTCTGTGAATAAATGCACGCACGCACACACACACACATGCACACACACACACACACACACACACATATATATATATATATATATATATATATATATATATGACATTACAAAAAGTATTATCTTTTCACACTGATGGCCTTGGGAAAGGCATGAATTCATATCGTCTCTTCTCAGCTATTGGTTCAAAAAATATCAGGGTAAAATAGACTCTCTATTCTTGGTTGGCAACCAGTCTAAGAAAGAAAATTTAATTTCAAATCAATGGTAAACTACTCCACTATCTTTCCCAATAATTAATGATGATACAAAGGAAATAATAAAAAAATCTATGGAGAGTCATGATCACGTATGTCCTGAAAGGAAATAAATAAAAATGGAACAGAAATCAATTCCAATTTTTTTCTGATTTGATTTTTTTTTTTTTTTTTTCTTATATTAATTTATTAAGTCTTTATCCCTTACCCTCACCCACTTGCCATTATAAATTTTGAAATCGGATGATTATTTTCTTCTGCTCTTCAGTCCATTGGAGGGTGTAGACGAGAGTTTAACCATCTACGAAGTTCCTCAACGTACACAAGAAACCCCACGGCGACGCCCAGTATCTGTGCTGGCAGTCAACGGACAGTACTCCCAAATGGTAAAGTTTGCTTACATTATTTATTTTTTTTAAATTTCTTTGAAATATTTTTGGTTTTGTAGGAGATGATATTGACAAATTATATTTATGTATAATGTTTATATATTTATTTATATATTATGCCATAATAAATTATGACCATATCTGTTACATTATTGTTTAATGTATACTCCCTTTACATTACCGTTTAATGTATGCTCCCTAATCAAGGTTAAGGAATGTGATGTCTCTTCTCTCCCTAACCTCTTTCTCATTCTCTTTCTTCCATTACCTAATAAACACCAGTCATGTTTCATGCCGGCTTTCTCAACTGTCCTTTCTGACATCAAATTTATTTATTTATTTCTTTTTTCAATTTTATTAAATGAGAAACTAATTATATCTATTAATTCTAAATATGTTTCTCCAGACTTCCTTTGTTCTTTGCAACTGAACAATTTGCGAAAAACAAATGAAAACTTTTTTTGACACAAGATAAAAGTTAAATCATAATTTTTAATAAATAAAATAAAATTTTAAAACTTATTAATAATCTTTCTTAATGTTGATTGCTTTACTTACAAATATAACTTTAAAAGTGTTATCCTCTCATAATGAACTCTTCAACTGTGTGTATGCTTTTGATTTTGGTTTTTTAATACAATACTACTTATAATTTACGGAGATTTATATTAAAAACACAAAATATATCAATGCAAAAGTCTGATTTCTCATCTTCACAAAGCTGATCTTTTCCTTTGTCAACAATTTAAGAAGAAAGTCATTGAATATAAGATTGTTTGAAATGGATAGACTAAGTTTGTTCTTTATTATTTATAACTGTTTTTTTTTTTTATGTATTGTTCGTGTTTTTCTTAGTTGTAAATACCCAAAGGCAATAGGTTCTCGTTAGATTCTTGTATCAACACTACTTGGATTTCTGTACTTCACTTAGATTTCTGTTAAAGGGATTTCTCCTAATTTCATCCCTCCATGCTTTTTTTGGTTTTGGTTTTTTTTTTTTTATAAAAAAAAATTGTAATTTTACTAATTCTGCTGCTTCAAACCCAATGGCATTGTTAGTTTTCATTATTCTGATAAATGGTTCCTGAATCTGGCATTTCTAATTATTCAGCTCATTTTTTGGCTCCTGCTTTTTTTGTTTTACATACATACATACACACACACACACATTCATTTATATATATATATATATATATATATATATATATTCAATTACAAAATTAAATTTAAAGTTTTTTGCTTCCATTTTGAAAACATGGTTATTACTGTGTGTAAAAAAAAAAAACATTTTAAATATATATATATATATATAATTATATATATATATATATATATATATATATACACACACACACACACACAAACAGGTTTGTTTAAATAATTTAGACATATCATGTCTGTTAGGTTTTGTTGTGAACCTTTTGAGTTCACAGATTAATTTCTTGGTAGCCTTAGAAAATTGATTAAGAAAAATACCAAAATTTTCTTTTAAGTAGTTTTTATTTTCCCAAGTACTTTCAATCTCATCCGAGACCATTTTCATGGGGTTACGTTGTCTGTATGTATAATTATATGCTATACTAAATTTAATACAACCAACCCAGTTGTCCAGAACAACTCTTCTCTATCAACTAGCATCTTGCGAAAGACCAACATTGTATATCAATTTAAATGTCCTTTAGGAGATTGTATCTCTGATAAAAATGTCATTACGTATGTTGGCTTTACTACAATGATGCTAACAAAAAGGCTTACATTTCAGTTGGCTGAGAATAGTTCAATAACTCAGCATTTAAAGGAACACTCATGCCCACACTCATGGATTAGGATATTAGTTGAAAATTATTTAATCAAACCTGTTTGAATAAAAATATGCTGCGAGTTGATTGTTTTAAAAAAGAACTATAAACAATTATTTGTTACAATTAGTATCAATTTTATCTGTATGAGTGTTTTAAAATTTACGAGATATATATGATATTGAGAAAGAGATTTCATTATCAAAGATGGCATCTTTGTAGATTTAGACAGTGTGGACATAGGAATCAACACTCCATGGTGATTCTCAGTTTCACATCTCAAGTGATCTTTAAGCACCCCCACCCCACACACACACACATACATGTGCATGTGAACATTGAAGTCAATGCCCACAGGTAACAATTTGTTTCATACTTGATGGCCTGACAATTGCGTTCAAGCATGAAACAGACCTCTGGGTGTTGACTTCAATGTCCACTCTTATATTTACAAATGCTCTCCCTCTCTGATATTGAGCACTTTATCCATAAATATAACATACCTTAAAACTATATTTTTATGATATATATATTATTTGCTTTAACTTTTTAGTGCCTGGACATGGTTGCAGATGTTACTTTTCGACAAAAATCATTATATAAGTCATGAAAAGTATTTTAACACAATATTGCATTTTAGTCTTTTCCTTGTCTATTATCAATGATATAATTGCTTAACCAATGAAAAACAAGCAACACAAAATTTGAAAATACCAGAATTTTTTTTTTATTTTCTTCCTTATCTCTGATGGAACTTTAATAAAATACAAATATAATCTGGAATAGTCATGCCAGTGAGAATTTCTTTTTTAACTTATAAAGCATGCTGGTTCAAATTAACATTCTACTAGTAGTTTTTATATAAGTTTAATAAGCATGGGACATAATAATTGTATTAGAGAGAGTTATTTAAAAACATAATAACCATGCAGTTCTAAATAAAGCCCCATGCCAGGAAATAAATGGAAGGAACTAATTTAATTGTGCTAACACTTTTATTTGGTACACAAGAACAAAATGTAAACGTAACTTTTATATCCAGCAAGAAATCAAAATCTTTCTATTATTATTGCAGTGATTTGGAAATTAATTTTCTGTTCATTAGCAGATGGATGGATAGGAATTAAGTTTCCATCGGAATTTCTGGGATGAGGAGTTATTGTTCTTGACATTATTGACACTTGGACTATTGTCAATTACTATCAGTTTTTTTATTGTTTCTCTTATTTTCCTTTTAATTTCTGGGATGAAGAGTTATCATTATTTACATTATTGATACTCGGACTATTATCCTCATTTTTGTTTTTACTATCACAACATTTCAGCCGCTGTGCACTCTGACCTTTATTAGGTACTTGTTGATCTGGGTAACCTTTAAGGAATTTCAAATTGAACCTTTTATTTAATTTATAGGGTAGGTTATTCTCATTCCACTGCCTATATCTAAGGATATCTCATCTAGTTCTTATTTTGGTACTGCTCAGTTATTGTTCACCTCATTGCCACTGAATTGAGTCCATAACTGCCTGTGTCTAGGGATATAGACAGTGAAACAAGAATGATCTACTCTTCACAGATTAAATATGTAAATAGTTATATAGCTAATGTGGCATAAAGAGCATTTTCTTTTTGTAAATTGATTTTTTTGCTTGTTTCATTTCAGTTTGGTAGCCAGTTGGACCTGCTTGGCCATGAAAGGAGATACTCCACTCCCGTGTCGTTGCCACAGTCAAAGGATGATAGTTACATTCTTTCGTCGTCAAGCTCCTCGTTGTCTCTAGCTGCAACGGGATATTCCATCACCAATTCCACGGACAGTGCCATCTACATCTCACAGCTTCCGCAGCGTTCAAATTCTCGTTCCATGTTGAGTGGCTCGGCAATGGCCATGCCACCACCTATTGCCACGTCGGGTCGCTACCCCTCAGGTTTGGGACATCAAACAGTGTGTGCTTACACTACAGATGCTTCCAATTTGGAAGATGCACTAAACAGTTTGAGTCTAAGTTTGGAGGATGTACGTGGACGCTACCAAGAATTACAGAAGATTGAGGAGTTGACGGATGTTTTAAGGAGTTTGTTGAAGGTGAGATTTGACAGATTCAACTTATGAGATTCTGCTTTTTTTATTTATTTTTTTATTGTTATTTTTTTTTAAAGATGTTTGTAGAAAACTCAAAATAAGTATCTATCTATATTTCTGAGATGAGGTATTATATACAATATTTACATTATTCAGACTATTGTCCTCATCTTTGTTGCCATATTTATCACAATGTTTCGGCTGTTATACACTCCGGTCTTTGTCAGGTGGTTGGAATGTTGAACTGAACCTCAAGGACTCATGGCACAGTGGATAAACGTGTTAGTTAGATCCAGTGACAGGACCCAAAGCGTGTGAGTTCAATACCTGGTTAAGGCAGTAGAGAACTTGTTGAGGGGAATTAATTGGCGATAACTGATAACTGACATCTATTAGACATGGTACGTGGAATTAGAACAGTCTACCCCAATGAGTGAAATAAAGGGTTCAGTTTGACATTCCAACCACCTGACAAATAGGAGTTGACATGCTGTTAAATCCAACATCCATCCAACCACCTGAAAAAGGCCAGAGCATACAACGGCCAAAACATTATGATAAATATGGCACTAAAGATGAGGACAATAGTCCGAATAATGTAAATAGTGAACTCAAAATAAGTATCTCATTTGATCAGTCTCTCACATATCATGTAACTTTATTTTGATAAGGTGATTCTGTAGCAGCAATCCACCAAGGAAGGTTTGAAGAACAATGGTCCTTGCAAAGACCTACATGCTTCATTCATGCTTTTTTTTTTGACATTTTTAATCATCAATCTAGCAAAGCAGTTGTATACAGCTGACAATTTAAATATTTCTGAACAAGTTTGGTATAAGGCATGACATTCATATGAAAGTCTTAATCTGACATGGCTGTTTAAGAACATGCTTCAAGTCTTTAGTCCGTGTTCTGGTTTTGTAGCAACTTGCGGTGTTGCACAAAACTACCTCTAGTGAAGCCTATTCTAGGTTACATTATAAATGTTACTCTGTAATTTAAATAGTGCAGTTCTGAATATTTTTTCTTTTTGCTTTTAACTAATTTTAAAGAAAAAATATCTATAATATAAAACACATTGTCACTTTATATATTGATTGGTTACACAGCCTGATCTTCCCTTCTTAGTAATAAGATATTATAGAAATAAGCATTACTCAGTACCAATAAGTAAATATGAGTCATAGTAACATAACAATAGAATCTCATTTGTAAGTAGGGGAGATCAGGCTGCTAATACATTGCTGTTTATTACTTTGTTTTCGTGTTATCTTTGGATATTTTTTACTTTTAATAAGTTATGAAAGAAGTTTTTCATTTGATAATAGTAAGTTATTTAGATAAAATCTTGAGTTTATTTGTAAAAAAAATACAACCAATACTGTTGTGATGTTATTAAAATATTGTCATCATCTTTGTTGATGGTGTATGGATACACAAGCTTAATTTCAGTTTTGACAAAAGAAATTTGTAGCTTTGGATAATGATATGTGAAATTATATAATGATGAAAAACAATGATTATGGGTTTTATTCTGTAACTGATAATAAATGCTCTTTTTTTTTTTTTTTTTTTTTTTTTTTCCAGAAGAATTCTCGATCTAGCTCTTGCTCTTCTAACATCAGTGTTTCTATAGAACATGCTCTGGAGGCTTTTGACTTCCTTAATACTGAGGATGGCTTGGATGATGCAGACAGTTCTCCAGGGTAATGTATAAAATCCTTTCTTTCTTATCATAGCAGTATTCACTTTCCAAAAGCATCTCATTGTGGGTGATGAATTATTTCCTACCCTACAACCCCTTTCCCCACAGATAAAATGTTGCAAGCTTCTCGCTGCTCTATTGCTATTTCTATGAAAAGTGTTCAGATTAATTATATTCCTTAGTTTTACCTATCCTAACCTTCATGGCTAAAACCTGCCATGCTACACACATTACAGCGAACAACCTCCATTCCCTTTATAATCCATTTGTGACACTCGAGCAACTTCTTCCCATGAACCCCTTCTTTGTGGAACTGACTCCCAAGAGGATGCTTCCCTGATCGCTACAATCTTAACTTGTTCAAGTCTAGGGTTAACCTTTATCTTTCCCACATATCAAATATAAACTGTGTCTCTTACTCTGTAACCCTCTTCTTTGAGTGGTTCTTGGGCCTTGTACAGGGTGAACATTATTGTAAAAAACACAAAAAACAACTTATTTGATTAGAAACAGCATTCATCTGGCAATATCTACCATTTTTCATTTCTATCTTGTGATGCCAAATGATCTATTTAACCATTATCATGCTGCAACTGTTGCCATAGGATTCTCTCCCTTTGATACTCTAGGTGCATTCTGTCACTTTAAGACTTGCTATAAATAAACACTTGTCAACTGTTATTTCCGGTATTTTAAGCTGGAAATTGTCTACTACTGCTTTGGAAGAAGATTAAACTTCCATTTTGAATTCTTGACTCTACATGAGGTGTAACACCAATTAAATCCACATTATATTTTATTTATTTATTTATTTTTTTTTTTTTTTAATAAACAAAAATGTCTACGTCAATATCCAATAAAGCCTTTTTTCAGGAGTTTTTTTTTTTTTATTAAGACTCTAATAATGATTTTGAAGACTTCACTTGAGTGAATATTGATGGTGAAGTGGTCAAAGATGATAACCATGCTAGTGACGCAGAGGAAAGTGATGATGGCCACTAGTGGCTACTATCATCCATGCTTGACTAATTTTATCGAAGCTACTGGTGACCATTGATATACTTGATCACCTTTCTGAAGGTGAATTATTTTGTCTATTTATAAACAACAAAATAATAACTTTATTCATCAATGAGACAAATAATTATGAGTCGGTGAAAGAAAGAGCAAACAAATGCTAGTGTCTTCTTGTATGTAAACATGAGGAAGTGTGTCACTTTTTTTGATGAAATGAAAGCATTCGTAGCAATTTTGCTTCTTAATACACCCCAGTAATAAAAGTTAAAGTATGTTGAATTATTTATGTGTATTTGTTTTTTATTTGATATTTTCAGTTTTTTGTTTTCAACATCAAAACATGCATGCATCAAAATATTACTCATTCATTCTTTTATTAGCGTACAAAACTTAAAATCTATATGCCCAATACAGAGAAAGTTATAATAATTTTAAAACAGTAGGTGTTCATGTTTTTGCACCCTCAAAAAATCATGCAGTGGCAGGGGAGACAACTCTAGAAAGAAATTAGCATGGTAATGGTTAAGGAGTAAAAAATAGAGTAATTATGTTAGTTATTATTTCTGTCCAGCTGCTCAGTGTGTGTGTCCTACAAGTAAAACATTTTCTAGTTTTTAGAGAATGCCTAATACTTTCTGCCATTGAAGGCTCTCATTAGTGTTTTAGCAAAAATGCTGTTAACTGGCTTTGTTTTTCAGCATTTTACACTTAGGTATATTTTGGGGGCTCTTGATATAAATTTCAGCATCTCTCTCTTTCTCTCTCTCTTTATATATATATATATATATATATATATATATATATATATATATATATATATATATATAAAGTGAACATTGAAGTCAACATTTAGAGGCAACAGACTGTTTCATGCTAGACACAATCGTGACCTGATGATTGCATCTAAACAGCCTGTTGCTTCTAAATATTGACTTTAATGGTCACTTTTATATTTACACACACTCTATCTCTGATATTGAGCAATTTTATCCCATAAATATAGCATACCTTTAGATTATATTTCATATATATATATATATATATATATATATATATATATATATATATATATATATATATATATCATTGAAAATGGCTGACAAGGAAGACTTAATTAATCTTTTGAGTTTTTCCAGCAATCTATCATTTTTTTTTTTTTTTTTTCTTCAGTGGTTAAAAATATAGGAATTGTCCATAGTTATAATTATTCCAAGTGCTTTCAGCTATTTCTCTAGCCATTATCAAGGATGTGTTTTGATGGTGAAATTCTTTGTGTGGCTGCTAAATAGTAATTTTACATTTATTATTAACAATTCATATTAACAAATGCTTTATTCTTACTGAGCATCCTCTCCTCATAAATATAGCAAATTTTAAGCATGTGTAATTAAAAGTCAACACTGAGGTCAACACTGACAGGTGACCATCTATTTTCTGCTTGAATGCAATCATATATTATGAAATGGACTGTCATGAAATTTCTCAGACATTCAAGCCAGTAAATGTTGTTAATACTGTTTATTATAAACAGAACATTTATCTAAATATTTGTATCTATAAAAATAATATATAAACAGAAAATATATTAAAATAATTGTCGTATTTAGTGCATATCATAATATATGATGTCATTTGTTTATGTTAAGATACGCTTCTAGTAGATATGAGCATTTGAGAGAAATCACGGGAAATTTGTTGTTTAAATATATATATATATAATAATAATAATTTTTTTTTTTTTTTTTACTACTCTGCTAAACATTATTTTGTGGATATTCCTGCTTGAGTAAACGCCCTGTTTTTTAAATGGTGTGAATTACGTCTATTTGCCTGCCCAAGTGAGAGACTTAATATTAATGAAAATCTACTCTCTAGCAAGTGTCACATTGCTTACTTGACACTTGTAGAATGATGAGGTGATTGCAGTAAAAACAACAAATAAGTTGAAAGCAATACCAGTTAAAAATTGATAATTGACGTCAATGAATGTAATATAAATTAGGAAAAACTCAAATTCTTTTGCTGACGTTTTTGTTTTGTATTTTTTTTATTGTCTTCTTTAGAGACAGTCGACGTTCTAGTCTGGAACACATCCTTACCAGCCCTGAGTCTACAGCCAAGACAACTGACTCCGGCATTGAATCCTTGGCCAAGAGGTTGAGTGAAGATACACAGCTAAGTTCAAGCACCAGTTCCAGCCCATTACCCCCCAGCACAGGCAATGAACATGTGGACCAAGCCTTCATCTTTCATCTCAACTACTGTAACAAACTGATAGAGGTGAGGTTTTTGGGGTTTTTTCTCATGTGTGAGGTTTTTTTTGTTTTTTTTTTGTTTCTTAAGTCTCATATTATATTCTGGTTAGTTAATTCTTTCAAAACACTTCACAATATTAACCTCTGTCTACCCCAGTTTCATGCTCACATGATCTTTAGACAGCTTGAAAATATATATATATATATATATATATATATATATATAAAACAGACACTTTGTTGAGTCTGTCCATAGATGTGATAAAGTAATTTGATTTATGGTCCCTGATTATCCTCAGGGAGCCTAATGCCCTTTTCTTTACATACAGTTTTGTCTTTCATTCTAATCTGAAGAAATCAGAAAGAGCAGAGGCTCTCCTGGCAAAACACATCGTTTACAGATTTTCCACTTTGTCTGATCACCTTCACTTTTATTCCCTTTAGAAAAACACACAATTTAGATTCTGCAAGTGAATTACCTTTTCAACAAGAAGCATAATTCTTGTTGATAATGATGGAGACTAGAGTTTGGAGCTAGCTGCAGTTTCAATATCACTCTCTCTCTCTCTGATAAGTTGGAGGGGGCATCATTCTTACAAAGCAAAAGAATGGTATACACAGTAAGAGTTGAACTCTAATAGTTTGATAATTCTTTTTCTATGATCCATGTCCCAAAGGGACATGAATGATCATGGTCCTTCATAACTTCTGATCCTCCATTTTTGCTGTTTTTCTTTTTACTCTCCCTCCTCCTCCATTTTTGCTGTTTTTCTTTTTACTCTCCCTCCTCCTCCATTTTTGCTGTTTTTCTTTTTACTCTCCCACCTCCTCCATTTTTGTTCCATCCATTTTTACAAGCTCATTAGGTAGGTTACTTGCTTCTTTCTTCTGTCCCTCTTGGAGTCAATATGTCTTGTGAGTGTCAAATTTTCCAGGCCTTCTTTTCTCCTGAGTCTGAGAAATTTCAACTCTCACTTTTATGCAGTTGCTTCAACATGGCATCATAAAAAATTGATTTTTACATTTTAAATTTGCTTTCATAAAAATGTGTTGTCTTTCACAAGGAAAAACTATTTAGATAAAATGATTTAAATTTTATGCATAATGTAACTTTATTGTTTTTTTTAATACAAAATTATTTTGGGGGGATTAGTTGAAATATAAAATGAATTTATGGAATGAAATTTGGTTCTTTGTTTATTTAACAAAAGAAAATGTTTGTAGATATAATTGTTTTTCTTTTTTTTAATTTTTGTATTTGCTGCTGTTAAAACCAAGCCATTAAAATTCATTTGACTCTAAACACTCATTTTGTTCCAAATGTGTCTTATATATTTTTTTCTCTATCTTTTTAACAGAACCTTGGAAGTTTTGGTCCTCTGAAGTGCAAAGAGATTTATGCGCTGGACAAACTTGAGAAGCAATCTCAGATTCTTGATAGTCTAATAAACCTTGCCAAAGCTGGAAATGATGTTGACTTACATGCAGGTAATTATTATTTAATATTCTTTCGTCACCTTTTCTTGTCTTTTATTTTACTCATTAACTCCAAAGGGATATCTATTGATTGAACTAAAGAGATGGCGAGTTGTATAAGTTATGCTTGAGATAATAATTTCTGATCTAGATGCTGAGGAAAAAAAGAATGAACTTCATCAGCAAGCCCAGTGTAGAATTCAGCACAGTGAGGAGACTAGTAGGAAAATATAATTACTTGGAAATTTTATATATAGCTGAAAAATAAGTTGATTTTTTTTTTTTCTTCAATTGTCTTCTCTTGGCAGAGAGACTTGGTATTCATGATGTTATTCTCATTATATGAGGAAAACAGATTTTTTATTTTCATTTATTTTTGGAAAAATGTGGGAATCTTTTAACTCCCCAAAATTTAAACATTAGATGAAAAGAATAAACTCAAACTCATAAATTCTGTCTGAATTTCTCAGATTAAATTATGATCATTATTATACATTGATTTATTCAAACTCTTGTCCTCATCAATGTTTCGCTGCTACACTCTCCAGTCTTCTTCAGGAACCCATCATATTTGTTAATATCCTTGTTATTTCAAACTGAACTCTTTATTCAATTCATAGGGAAGATTATTCTCATTCTGTTATCATGCTAGAAGATATCTGAGAGAGTAGAAAAGCTAAAAAAATTAAAACTATAACAATCAAGATGAGGACAACTGTCTGACAAAATCAGCATATAATAAATCCAGGTTGGAAGACCTTTAGACCTATGAGAAAGAAAAAAGCGCAATAGCTGAAATATAATAAAAACAACAATGATTGTGAGACTTGTTTGAAATAACTTGTGGAATAAGAATTGGTGCATTACCAAATATGGACATAATAGGCAGGGTTATGAGATCTGTGGGAATGTGAAAATGTAAAAGTATGCAAAAAGGAAAGAAATAAGGCCAATGTGGGTGAAAGGGTTTGTGTCATTTCTGCTAAAGGCATACAAAATATGAAAGTCTGATACTGAGAATCAAGCACAACATTCTTATCTGATTTACATTCAGACTAATATCTTCATCTATTTTGGCTGTTATGTCCTCCTTACAATCTACGCTTATAGATTAATCAAGGGTTCAGTTTGATATTCCCTGAAGGCTTCCTAGATAGACACCTAAAGAGTACTGGGCATATCAACAATCAAAATGTTATCAGAGTAACAACAAAGATGAGGACATTAGTCTGATTGTAAATGATAACTCCTCGTTCTAGAAATTCAAACAGAAAACATTCTTTTGATCTCTGTAAAAGACTTTTATAGAAAACAAATTTTCTAGAAGATCTATCAATTGTGCATGGTGACTTGGAAATATTTTCCAATATTAAATGACCACAGACTATTTGTTGTAACCTAGGCAGGGTTACTGAATGAGGAATAACCAAAACGGAGGTTGAAAATGAAATAGTAATCTTAATGAACAAAATCTATTGTAAAAAATTAATCATAATGAACAAAATACAATACTCGCCAGCGGCATGAAGTAGGTAAACCACTGCTTGTGGTGGACTATTCAGATAGCATATTACCTCCCCCTACACTTATAATAGTGTCCAATGTATTTATGAAGATTGGGACATAACTATTAGTGTTCATAGGTACATCGGTATATAATACTACTTTTTGCTTTAAAATACTGAATTTTATTTTTTCAATAATTTTTAAACAGGTTTTTATGAATAAAAATTTGATTTTGGTTCTGTTTTGAAATTTTATCCTGTCAAATTCTAACTTAGATAAATATCTAATGGACCTTAATTGGTATTAGATTACCAAAACATTTGTTTAGTTTATTAATACAATTTGACATATTTGATTATTTACTGTAGCTTTTCTATAAATGGCACAAATCTTTTTTGTATTCAAGTTGGAATTTTATTTACCAAACAAAAGAAACCATAAAATGCTGAATCATAATATTGTCGATGTTGGGTTCAGTAAACAGAAATACATTAATTCTGATAAAACTTTAAAAAAAAATCAAAATGAATGTTGATATGACAGCTATCACAGTTTGATCAAAAATGATCATTTTGAATGAATTTAGTGCTAATTAAATGCTTCTAATGCCATTCCATGACAGCAGACCTTTTGGCTACCCAATAAAAACATCTGAATTCACATGGATAGAATGGTTTCTGTGTTGTTGTTTTTATTTGGTTTTTTTTTTTTTTAAATATGCTAAGAAAAATACCAATTTTCTTTTTCTCAATAAGCTTTTTTTGAAATTTTTGTAATATAAGTTTTTATTTTAATACCAGACTTTGTACATTTTTGCAAGCTCCACCCAAAATTGTTTTATTTATATTTTGTTCTTCACTGCAACTTTATAAATATCATGGTGCAGCATATATATATATATATATATATATATATATATATATATATATATATGGCCGGGTGGTTAGAATGTTTGCTTTCTGACCATGAGTCCCGGGTTTGAACATCACAACGGTTGATTTGTCAGGAAGGAGGCTTCCAGATATTATCGATCTGAAAGGGAATGATTCCAGCATGTGGCACCTTTGTAAACCATACCACAGATTGACCCAAGCCTTGTGAGTGAAATTGGAGTCATCGATAGCTATTCTAGCATGAAATCACAAGTCATTGTGACTGAGGGTTTGAGTGTGCTGGTGTTGTTCAGATCTTTAATCATGCTAGATAACATTCTCTCTCCCAGAAACTGTTACTAAGGTCTGCTAAGCATAGTTGCAGTATAAACCACAGGTGGGCTCTGTGGGTGTTGAACAAACACAAATGTAACTGAATGAGAGTCTGCAATAGGATTGGCTAGCCACCCTAGTAGACGGGTATCCTCGAATACACGTGGTCAGCTACTAGTATTATTATTATTTTTTTATTTTATATTATATATCTATCTATATATATATATATATATATATATATATATATATATATATATATATATATATATATATGATACTACTACTACTACTATAAGCCACAAGTTTGGGGCCACCATCAGAGATTTCTAAAGTTGGATGCCTTTTTTCAAAACTAATTTACTAGATCACTTTGGTACAGGGGGGATTTTTTTTCTCCTTGAAGAGTTTTATCCTATGTTCAATAATAATAATAACAACAAAATTAACCAATTATTGAATGAGGTTTCCTTAAAATTGTACCCCTTTTTACTTAATCTACCTGTCTGGCTAATGGTAATCTTAGGGCTGGCAGATTTAAAATTTTAGGTAACCCACTCTCTAAAAAAACAAAACAAAAACTGAATGTCATGCCCTGATGGATTAAATAGCTTCAGTAGGAGTTAATTAAACCAAAGAAAGCATGAAACTTGCTAATTATTAAATTAAAAAGGCAGCCTTAACCTTTTGGCTTATAGTGTGTGTGTGTATTCTGTTTGTGCATTTTCATGATTCAAACACTATTCTGACACTAGTTTGCATAGAAAAATACCAGTAGAGTTCATTATTTTCACTTATATTCTAATACTCTTGGGAAAGGTATGAATCTAACACTTTCTCTCTCCAGCTATGGGTAAATAGGACAGATTGGGTTCTATATCCTCGGGTGGCAACTGGTCCGGGAGAAGGAAAAATTCTCAATTCAAAACTTTACATAGCTCTGTCAAGGCACATACAAAGGAAATGTTTGTTCACATTGTCCTATCGATCCTGACTGCAGTCATCTCCTTTTCTGCTTTTAAATTATTTTTTTTTTATTTTTTTTTATTTTTTTTTATTTTTTTATAGAAGTCGGTTAAAAACTAGCATTGTTTGTTATCACCATTAAAAGAAAGATTTACAGATCACACAATAGAACTGTCGGTTATTTTTTCTTTTTATTCAGGAAATAGGAATTTTTATATTTTATTTGCAAGAAATAGAATTCTAGAAGTCCAGCTCTGTTGTTTATTAGACCAATTTTAGTTTTTGTGCAACATCAACACATTTTTTTTTTTTATCTTTTTTAGATATATTTTTTAATTTCAAATGTTTTTGTTTTGTAATTTTCAATGAAGTCATCCTTATGTTTATAACCTCTTGAAGAAATATTCTGATCCATTCTAAGAGAATATATATATATATATTTTTTTTTTCTTTTACATTATAGTTCTGGCAGAACAGCTGAATGATAAACAATTGAAAGAATTCTGGGTACAATGTGTTGATCAAAACGTGCTGACTGTTCCTGCTGACAAACTTATTAGCATGATGGAACAGAAATTGTCCAACAGATTCCAAGACCAGAGTGATGTGAAACCTTGCCGAGGTTTGTGCCCCTTTGATTTTAGCTAACATTTTATTTTTAGTATTCATTCCTTCATAGCTTTGTTTTCTAATATCTATTTGTATATTACCCATTGAAATGACAAGAGTAATTATATATGGATTGATACTTCTGTCTAGGATCAGAGTGTAGTATCTGTACATTAAATAAAAGTATTATACAAAATATATAGATACACACTAGATTTTTATATGTAGGGATATCTACTTTTACACGTTGTGTATATATATATATATATATATATATATATATATAATTATAATTTAGGCTCTACTTGTGTATTGAGCACTTTTTTAAAAATAAAAACAAAAATACTAAAAACTTCAGATTATTAACCTAACAGTTCTTTCCTATTTTTCTATATATTTTGCACATATATATATTTTTTTGAATTTGTAGGTCTGATGAATTGGGTTGTGATTGCAATTCCAATGTAATAAATTGTAACCATGGGATATTAGTGTTTGAGCCTTTTATTTTATATATATATATATATATATATATATATATATATATATATATATATATATATATAGAGAGAGAGGGGTTGGGGAGGTAAAATTGGATGACCATCAATTTTCATCTGGGTACCATATTTATATGCTTGGTGGGTAGTAGATATGATGATAAATTTTACAGAGTCTGTGGTCATCATGTGATGCAGTAACACTCGTGCCAGTGCACTGTCTGTGTCTGAACATTAGGTGTTGATGTATGCTGGTATAAGTTTCAGTGCAAGCAGATAACATCTCAGATAAAGCATGTTCCTTTTGTTAGACATTTCAGGGAGTTGGATTGTGGGTTTATTTCTATACTGCATCTACTTATGGCTTAGCATATGTACGGATTTCTTCAAATGTCTGCTTACGGTCATATCATGTAGATCTTGTATGATCACCAAAGTTAAGCAATGTCAAGCCGAGATGGATGACTACTTGGGAATAGCAGGTGCTGTAAGTTTGGGTGGTGTAATGGATAAAGCCATGGAATTGGAGATTGAAGAACTGTTCCAATTCCAGTCAGGTTCTTTATATTCATTTGTATACAAATTCCCTTGGGAAAGGTATGAATCCATCTCTTCTCTAACACAGCAGTATACTTATTTTATAAGTTAGAAACTTCCCACAAGAATGGTTCTTCTGGAAATCACTTGTATTTGGTACAAAAATTATTATAGCCAACAGTAGAATAGATATTGGCTTACAATATCTATTCTTCTTCATATGATTTTTTATTATGTATTAAAATGTTATTCATTATACTACTTGATTATTATGAATAAAACAAAATGGCCGATTTAAAACAAGATGACTTTTTTTTTTTTTTTTTCCTCCAGTTTTCTGCCACGTTGTCAGTCGTATTCTGGATATTTCTGATTCTGAACTGAAAATGACTCAAAATGTCTATGTCACTCTTTACCAATTTGCTCTCTTCTTCAAACCAAATGGATTTGCCTTGGTTGACAATGTTATTGAAGAAAGTAAGTCATAACATTTTTCTGCTTCTTTGGATTATGTTTTTTTTTTTTTTTTTTTTTTTGGAGGAGGGTTTCCATCAGTAATGTTTTTTTTTTTTGTGTGTGTTTCTGTGAAATAGATCTTCCCACCCACACCATGATAATTTTTTATTTTTCATCATCCTTTTTTTTCTTTATCTTTTATATCCAATTTGGATATTTGAAAGATCCCGGGAAAATGCAGTAGAATTTTATCAAGAATTCAGACTGTTGCAAGACTAGAAAACATATCTGTGACCGAGATATGCATACCTAAATGCCACACCTAAATCAAGTGGAGCAGCATAATGTTTTATTTTTTTAAAAAAAAAAAAATCTCAAGAGAGAATGCAGAATTATTCTTGTTTTAAAATGAGCAAAAAATAATGTTGGCTAAGAGGAAAGAATTATTCTGCAGAAATTCCTTTTTAACTTCTCGTTTCCAGATTTATTTGGATTCATCACAGATTCAGAATTGAAAAAAAAAATCTCTTTTCAAGAGCAAAATTCAAAAGGAATCTTTTATTAAATTATTAAGCATAATTCTTACTAAATGCCAATCTACACATCCATAGGACAACAAGGCAATCTTTATAGTTAATCATTTATTAACAAACAAATGTGGTTGATTTTTTTTTTTTAATTATACATTTAAAAAGAACTCACAAAATTTGTTGGTGAAGCCCTCAGGTTCAACACAGAGGCCTACATAAAGTGCCTTGAGGATGTAGTGCTGCCCTGGGTCAAGAGAGTGGCTGCTGCAAGACCCTATGTTTGGCAACATGACTCTGCACCATGCCACATAAGCAGAAGAACCCAGCCATAGCTGCTAGACAATTTTGTGACCAAATCACCCCTTTTACATCTGGCCACCTAACTCCAGACTGCAACACCCTTTGATTAGTATGTGTTGAGCAAAAGATTGTAAAACTCTTTGTAACACCAAAGATGATCTGAAGGCAAGGATTATGGCAGCATTTACCAACTTAAAAAGGAGACAATGCAGAAGAGTTGCAGGAGATTCTGAAATAGTCTTGAGGCCGTGATTGAAGCCAATGGCAATTTCATTGAATAAATTTACTCTTTAGTATTTCAAGATATTTTTGTGTAATTTTGGTAAATATATCTGTTAAAATGAGATGTCAGTGTTGCTTTCATTTTTGTGTAATTTAGAAGACAATTTATTCATTGCACGTTCTGTGTGTGAGTGTGTGTATGTATATATATATATATATATATATATATATATATATATATGAGAGAGATGACTGATAAGCGATATCTGAACAAAGTATATAAGGTGAAATATATGAAAACCAGTTGGATGTTTAAATTTTATTCTTTTGCCAACGTTTTGTTCAATAAGAACATCATCAAAACAAGATAAGAAAGAATTGAGTTGAAATATTTTTATTTAGTACTGTTCAGTTATTGCTTGCCCACTTTTCCATTGAGTGCAAGTCCACACAGTCCAATCCAGGGACTAAATAAAGCTGTACTAAATAAAAATAAGAACTAAATGAGGTATCCCTAGACATGAACAGTGAAATGAGAACAGTGTACCCCCATAGATTAAATAAAGGGTTAATCAGATTGATATAAACATGAAGAAGGCTGAATGGCATAATGGCTGTAATGTCATGATAGCAACAACAAAGATGAGGACAATAGTTCAAATGTAAATAGTGTAAATAATAATTCCTCATCCTAGAAATTCGGGCAGTATTTATAGTCATTCTTAGACATTTACAGTGATTTTTTTTTTCTTATACTCTTGTTAATGGATGTTGTCATAAAAGTGTTTCTTTGTAATTAACGCATTTCACTTTTGTTTGGAATCATGTCCTGCTGATGAGCAAAAAAAAAATGTTCCAAATGCAAATTATTTAAATTTCATTCATTTACTTATAAAAAATACTGATTGCTTTTCTTTTGCACGTGTAACTACATAGAATATATGACGTGATGAACTTGGAGATGACATGTTTACATCATAAAAAGAAAAGAACAAATTTGTTAAAAACTTGATATTTCGTAAATTATAGAAAACAAATATCATAGATTACCTGAAGTCTTGTGAATTTAATTATGGTTGGAAAAATGGTTAGATGAAATTTATCCATCAATATTTTTTTTTTTTTAGATTTGTCCTTTTTTATCTGCATTTGAGAGCATTTAAATTGAATTTAAGATTTTACCAGTGTTAAAAAAAAATTGAGACAACTTATGAAAATGTCAAATTTTTATTTTGTAAATGCTATTTTTAAAATTTACTATATTTTTTATTGTAATCTTTACTTCTTATGGCAATTCCATTGTTTACACCCCCCCACACACTCCGTTTGATGATAATTTTATTGTTTGCTCCCCTCCATCTCGTAATTTCATTGTTTGTTCCCCTCCATCTCGCAATTTCGTTGTTTGCTCCCCTCCATCTCGCAATTTCGTTGTTTGGCCCCTCCATCTCGTAATTTCGTTGTTTGCCCCCTCCATCTCGTAATTTTATTGTTTGCTCCCCTCCATCTCGTAATTTCATTGTTTGCTCCCCTCCATCTCGTAATTTCATTGTTTGCTCCCCTCCATCTCGTAATTTCATTGTTTGCTCCCCTCCATCTCGTAATTTCATTGTTTGCTCCCCTCCATCTCGTAATTTCATTGTTTGCTCCCCTCCATCTCGTAATTTCATTGTTTGCTCCCCTCACACGTCTGATGATAATTTTTTGTTTCCTCCCAGCTGTAATCCCAACTGAGGATGATTTCATTGTCTACCCCTATTGATGACTATTTCATTGTCTGTCCACCTCCCCATCTAATGCTGATTTCATTGTCTGCCCCATCTCAATGATGATTTCATTGTCCCCCACCTCTGATGACAATTTCATCCCCCCCCACTTCTGATAATGACGTCATGATGATTTCATTATCCCCCTCTCTGATGATGATGATTTCATTGTCCTTCCCCATGATTATTTCATTGTTCCTCTTCTCCTGTGATGTTGTTATTGTTTTTCTAATAACGCTGCAGAATTTTGACAGATATCTTATGTTGTTGTCCTTGTTAGTTTCCATCAGTGACAGATTGTGTTCAGGGAATCCAGAAATTGCCATCAAGTCAATCGAGAACCTCCATGGAACGATTGCTCCTTCATTCTGCCTCAAAGTTCTTGGAACTTTGCTTATTTGTGATAACAAGGACATCAGGCAAGCCGCAGGTGAGTTGAACAATTGCTTTTTTTTTTTTCATTCAATTTCACATTTTTTCTTTCTCTTTTTTTCTTCTTCTGCTTTTTTTTCTTTACCTTTCTTCATCCCTCTCTATTTTCCTTTTCTCTTTTGCACTGACTTTCTCTCTCTCCTTCTCACTTCCTTTTTTATTTTTCCATTTTCTATTTTCTTTCCTCTATTTCTTTCTTTTTGCTTGAGGTTATGCAAACAAGTCCATTCTTTTGTCAGCATTTTTATTCAAGAAAAGTCTCCCCAACCAAAATATTAGTTTGCTATAATTCAGATGCATATTGAAATCTGTAGTTTTCCCATCTTTTTCATGTTTTTACTTTTGCCTTCCTTTGCCTTTTTCATTCCTTCAGAAAAGACAACTGCACCTGTCTGCAGGCATCTAAATGTTGTTTTTATCTTTTTTTAAAAATACTTACTTTGAGAAACTTCTTTGCCAAAGGTAGATAGAACTAGCCTCATTCAGATGCCGAAACTTTGCCTAGAGATAAATGCAGATGAATTGTAAATACAAGAATTTATAATTCATTTCACCTTAATGCAAGTCTGTAATGAAAAATCAAGAATTTCTATATTTTTGTACAATGTTACTTATTTCTCTTTTTATACCATTTTCTAACTCAATTCATTTCAGTTCAGATGACTTGTTTATTTAAAACACATTGGTTTTGTTACTGAATAAAAATAAACCTCATCTTGTATTCTTTTACTACAATGGATAAGATTACATTGCATCAATTTTAAAACTAATCACTGCAATGTTCATCTACAAAATTAATAAATATGTTTCTGTTTCTAAAATGATATACAAGAAACATTATTTAACACTGCCTAAGTTAAAATAGTTCTTAAATTAAATAACTATTGCTGAGTATTTTACTTTTTAATTTCATTTATTCAAACTGTTAACCTCACAATATTTCTTCAGCTGTTTGTCATATTCTGTGATATTCTGATTAAGTCAAACCATCAGTTTGGTGGTTAAAGGCCAAATATCGCAGTTACCTGAAGAAGGCTGATATATACAACAGTTGAAGCCATGTGAAAAATAACATTAAAGGTGAGGACAACAGTTTGAATATATTGGTGAATAGTAGTGTTAATTCTTCATTTCAGAAATCCAGTAGAAATTATTTTGAAAGTTTTACCTTTTGGATTAGATGGGTAGAGAAAATAGTTCAAAAAGTGGGAGGGTGGCAAATACTTATGCTTGTTCACATAATAGAAATTAACAAAATTATACCGACGTCTGTATAAGTTCCAGGTTATTCAGTAAAGACTTTAAATGGTTTAATTGAAAGAAAAGAATTTTCATCTTAATGCAAATAAGTTTACATTTTCAGAAAATCATTTGTTTGCTAAATAACAAAGAATCAGTAAAAATATGCTGCAAAAATCTCTATATTAGCAATTCATAATCACTTTGATTTCAAAATTTTACATTTAATAATTTTTATCAGAGGTTGATGAGGAGAACTATTGGAAACTATAAACATTTGTGGACTCTTTTTTTGGAGACTGTTAGAGTTTGGGGAGCCCCCTCTTGGTGACTGTTAGAGTTTGGGGAGCCCCCTCTTGGTGACTGTTAGAGTTTGGGGAGCCCCCTCTTGGTGACTGTTAGCGTTTGGGGAGCCCCCTCTTGGTGACTGTTAGCATTTGGGGTGGCCCCTTGGTGACTGTTAGCATGGGGGGTGGCCTCTTGGTGACTGTTGGAGTTTGGGGGTGGCCCTCTTGGTGACTGTTAGCGTTTGGGGTGGCCCTCTTGGTGACTGTTAGCGTTTGGGGGTGGCCCCTCTTGGTGACTGTTAGCGTTTGGGGGTGGCCCCTCTTGGTGACTGTTAGCGTTTGGGGGTGGCCCCTCTTGGTGACTGTTAGCGTTTGGGGGTGGCCCCTCTTGGTGACTGTTGGAGTTTTGGGGGTGGCCTCTTTGACTGGTGACTGTTAGCGCCCCTCTTTGGGGGGTGGCCCTCTTGGTGACTGTTAGCGTTTGGGGGTGGCCCCTCTTGGTGACTGTCAGTATTTTGGAGTCTCTTAAGCTGTTTTTAAATTCTGTAATGAGGTACTTTTATTATTTCACACAGTTTTAGTTTTAATGGGCTTATTCACCTTTTTTTTTTTATTTTATATGATAATATTTTTGACTTTTGTCTGAAATATATTTGAACAAATATTGACCCTAAATATTTATGGATCAGTTTCTTTTTACTTCCAAGTTTTATCTTAAAAATGAGTCATTCACCCATAGCTGTGTATCTCAGACAATAAAAGAATCAATTGCAATAAGAAAAAATGCCCAGTTATGCTACCAAATGGCCATATTTTATTTGTTGTTTTTTTTTAATGCATCTATTTTATTTTTTGTTTTTCAGCATCTTATTTAAAGAATCTCCAGCAGACACGCATCAGTCGCGACAAAGTAAGTATAGATCTTTTTTATTTTCTTCAAATATAATATTTTTTGGTTTTATTTGTTTGTGAACATAATTTTCATATCTCTTTAATGAGAGACAATCTCAAATATCTGATTGACCAGATATGAGAGATGTTGTGTGTGTATGGACTTAGGAATCAACACTACATGGTAACTGCTAGTTTCATGCTTCAAATCAATCTTCAAACCAAGTTTTGCTGTTTCATGATTATCATATTTGCTTAACAGTCTTTTTTTTAAAGAACTGTCTCAAGTTTGATCATGACTTTAAAAATTATGTGAATCCATAGCTTCAGACTTCACCAGATAAAAAACACATCACTTGAAGAATTCTAACAGTTGCAACAACCAAAATGGTCAGCACATGTGACTAGAAGGGAAAATAATAAAATAATGATGCTGTTAACATTCCACACTGTCAAAGACATTTAGATCGGAAAGAAATTCTTATCAGTATTCAAAAGACCTATAACAATTAGTGGACTTGTCTAATATCCTCAAAAAACTTCTTTAATAAAATGATTTTTTAAATTTCAACTGACAGTAATACTGTTTGATTATGTAGTTGGCCCTGATCTGGCGTCTCGTCTACAGTTACTCTCTCACAGATGCGCCGTAACCTCTCTCTGTCTTTTCTACAAATACTTTCATGGTAATTGCTCTGATGAGCTGCTTTCACTGGTTCCCAGACTTCATGAATTCAAGCGCCCTACGAGGCTGGCATCCCGCTCTCACCCTTACACTGTAGAAACTTTTAAATGTAGCCGTCTCTCCTACTCCAATAGCTTCATACCTTGCACCTCTCGCCTGTGGAACACCCTTCTTAATTACTGTTTCCCTGAGAGCTATAATCTCCAATTATTCAAGTGTAATGTCAATTGACATCTCCAGTTACCTTGATCTACCCACTATCCTTCTCCTCATCCTTTTTTCTATCTCTCCTATCTGCTCTTGCTCCAAATCTTTTGCAACCCCCTGCATCCTAGTGGCTTCACGCCTTGCTCAGGGCGTAATGCTTAAAAAAAAAAAAACTAAAAAAAATAATATTTCTTGTATGGAAACAGATTATTACACCATTACTGTTGATTCAGGATGCTTCTTTTAATATCTAATTTTACCATTACCATCTGCTTACTATTAGTGTTACTCATGTAAATTATTTTAAACAAATGTTCTTCCTCTGCAATAACTATTGTTTGCTTTTTACCTTTCTTTCAGTCAATGATTGTTTATGTGGAGGCTCTTGAAGACCAGACTGCTGAAGTACGGGCAGGTGCAGCTGTAGCACTGTCATTATTACAGGTAAGATAATTATCACTTTGTGCTACCTGCCTCCTGCTTTCACTCATTTATTTATTAAATGTTTTCTTTACTTTCATGTCTTCTGGAATTGTTTGCTCACAGGCTTACGGCCATATCATATTGAAACACTGGTTCTTGTACGACCACTGAAGTTAAGCAAATGTCTCACTGGTCTATCGCTACTTTCATAGTGTGCACTCAAATGAACTACATTCCTTGGTCCTGCCATTTCTAACCTTCACAGCAAGGATCCGCCATGCTACTTTGTAGCAAGCCACACCCATTCTCTCTGTATTCTATCGTTGTGAAGTAAGTTCCACTTGAACAGCTTCTTCCCAAGAGCCACTGCCGTGTGGAACCGACTCCAAAGAGGATGTTTCCCCAATCGCTACAATCTTGACCTGTTCAGGTCTAGGATTAACCATTATCTTCCCCTCCTATCTGTACAAACAGCCTCCTAATGTAACCCTTTACCTAAAATGTTCCCCAGGCCTTGTACAGAGGGAACCTTACTGTAAAAAAACTAAAAAAAAAAAAAAACATTGAGCTTGGTCAGTATATATCATGTTGAAACAGCAGTTCCTGTATAACCACCGAAGTTAAGCAACAGCAAACCTGGTCAGTACCAAGATGGTTGATCGCTTGAGAATGCCAGGTGCTGTAAGCATGGATGTGTGGGTGGTGTATGGATAATGGCTCAGAATTGGAAAGATATATACTGACCAGGTTCAATGTTTTTTTTTTTTGTTTTTTTACAGTAAAGTTTTCAAAGTTATCAGAAATCTTAAAAACATAAAAATTGTCCAATTTTTTATCCACCCTTTAAGTTTTAACAAGCAAAGATATTATGAAATGGATTAAGTCCGATAATTATTTAATATATTTTCTGTTTATACATTATTTTTATAATCTATTTAACTAAATGCTCTGTATTTTAATTAAACAGTATTAATTATATTTACCTGCAATATATGTTGTCATTGTTTATGTTAAGATATGTTTTGTGAGCAAAAATGATCAATCAAGAAAAATCATTGAAAGTGTGTTTATAAATAGTAATTTGAACTTTGCTAACCAAACACTTCTCTGTGGCTGAATGGTTAGCAGCATGTCAGATGAAATGACAATTTCCATTAGGGTTACAGGTTCAATTCCTGTCAGAGAGGGGAGATATATATATATATATATATATATATATAGTTAGGTAAATCAACTAACTAGATATTAACAACCACATACATGCGTTCTGGCATGCATACACAGGAAAGCAAATAAATAATCATTTAATTTAGCCATGAGGTGTAAGCATAATAGTGCTCGATGTGGTTAGATAGAACAAAGAAATGTATATTAACAAATATACATATACCTACATTTTGGTATGAATAGTAAATGTATGTATAAAGGAGTTATCTATAAGGCATAATAACCAAATTAAATTTTATTTTGGATCTACTGCAAATAATTAGAAAAAGCGTTTTTATCATTACAAAATGATTTTAACAAAAAAAATATGCAAACACCACAGCACTCTCAAAATTTTACTGGAGTATCAAAACAGATGTCTACATACCTGGAGTATATTAGGAATTCGTTGTCCAAGTCAAACCATTTTCTGCCCGGGGGGAACGATGCAACTTATGTCTACTAGAGAAAAAAAATTCATCCTCAAAAATATTAACAATGTAAATCAACTTAATAAGTGGAATGAACTTATAATTGCCTGCAGCCACAGAAAGACGTTTCTCTTAAAATATTGCAAGCCCAGATAAATTTTTCTTCTTTATTAAATTTTAGTTTTCATACCATTTATCTCCTTTTAACCTGCCAAATGTTACTCTCTCCCCTACAGAACTGTGTGTCCCGTTTTTATTTGAAATTTAAGTTTTTAAACGTGCTTCAATTTTTTCCTTTATTTTTTTATTTTTCATTTTTTTTTTTTTTTAAAACACCCCTACCTGCACGCCATTTTCTGCATTTAGACCTCAGTATTGTTTTAATATTTTTTTGTACTATTTTATTTTTGGACTATGAAGCAGTGTTCCTCCCATGATCAGCTGTATTTTTTTTTTTTTTTTAAATCCATTAGCCCGATGAGGTGGGTAACCAATGAAACTTAAATTGCACACAAAAACGTAGGTGTGTGTATATATATATATATATAAAAAAATCCGCTTTTAAATGATGTTAATTTTCAAGATATTTTTATGAAATAGAGGTATATTTAGAAAAAATAATTTGTCATCATATATCATGTGAAATTGTACAATTTTTCTTAGATTTGTAGTAGTTTTATTTTGTAATAATTTTATTATGTTATAAGCAAAATGTAGAATCAACACGGAACTATTGCCTTTTTCCTCCTGTCTTTAGAATAGTTCATGCTGTCGAATGTTTATCATCAAAACTGGGAATTTCTCTTTTCAGAATCAGCGTTTTTTTTTTTTTTTACAAAGCAAGGGAAGCAACTCAATCAAGGGCGGCAACTGCTTTTCTTAGAATTTGTTTTAATTAAAAAAAGAAAAGATTATTTTAATAATGACAGTTATCTAAAGTTGTTGACATCTTTTGGTTTGAATTAAATTTAGCAAAAATTAATCAAGTTTTTTTTTCTTTTTATCTATTGTAGGCAAATGAAAGTATCCCACAATTAGTATACCTTTGTCAAACGGATCAATCGCCATCTGTGACTGCATTTGTTAAAGATGCTCTTTATTCTCTTGGTAAGTAAATGTTTACTTACGTTTTTTAACCATTTCTAATGTAAAAGTAGTTTGTGAAGTTAGTTGTTGTTTTGCTACAAGGATAATCTGAATCAGGAATTTTTATTTAATGATAATTGTGCAAGCAGGAATTTTTCCTTAATAGTTTATTTAGAGGGATGTTGTTTTTAAACTTTAAACAATGATTGTCATGAAAACAGATGAAAAGATATTTTGCTAATGTGATGTGACACAAAAATTCTATGTTTAATTTGGTCAATTCTTTACAGCTGTTTTTTGTCTGTCATTATGATCAATTCTGATTTGATAGAATTCAAAGTCATCTGTGCAGCCTTGTGGGTGATGAATTGTGTTCCATCTTACAAACCTTTTTTCTCACAGATGAAATGTTGTGAGCCTCTGACTGCTCTATTGTTTCCATGGCATGTGGCCTGACAAGCTACATTCCTTAGTCCCACCACCCCTGACCATTACCATTGGGACCCACCATGCTATATACACAAGGTTGAATCATCCTGTATTCTTATAGTAAGAAATAAGTTTCATTTAGACAGCTTCTTACCAAGAACTGACGCTTTGTGGAAGAGACTTTTGGCAGTATATTTTCTCCAATCTTGACCTCTTCAAGTCTAGGGTTATCTTTCCTGCATAGAGCCCTATGAATTTCACTGCTTGCTCTTTCTTATGCTAATAGAACACCACGGATGAACACTCTACCTTGAGTGGCTCTTGGGCCTTGTTTTGAATGAAAACACACACACACACACACACATGTCACTTTTTAAGTGATGATAATTTTTAATATTGAAGATATTTTTTTCAAAATTATATCATCTTTGATTTAATTTTAATTTAATATTTACCTGTTTTTATGTTTATTTTATAACAGAAGATTTATTTAATGTAATTTATTGTGTGAATAGCATAAATTATTGGCATGGAAAATGGAATTTGCAGACAAATGTCAAATTCTAGTTGAGGTTAATCTATATTCATTTTGCATTGATACTCTAGAGAAAGACTACATCTCCTTCTAGCTATGGGTAAAATCATAATGTAGGCTGAACTTTTTTTAGCCTTGATAGGACAACAAATATGGGAGGAAAACATCTTGAAATTCAAATCCCAATGTCAGTATGTTATTGGCCAGTGTGGTAGAGTAAGGTCCATGACTTCCCATGTCTTACAGAATTTGCAGAAAGCTTGTATCTGGTATTAGAGTTAGAAATAGGCTGATAAAAAAAATACAAAATATAAGTAAAATATATAAATGATGGAAAATAGAATAACATGTTTATTTTGATACTGAATATATATTACACTTATTTTGACTAGAAGAAATATTTTGCCTGGTATCTGATCAGGAGGCTTTGAAGAGTGTAGAACCACTTCTTAATTGCTGTTGTTCCCAGGTCCATCCTGACCTGGGGTGGTAGCACCTGTTAGGGTCCCAAATATGGGCAAAGAGTTAACCCCCACCCCCAAACTGGGGTTAAAACAATATGAAAGTGTAAAAATAGTTTTTAATACCAGCAATAAATTTTTTGAAAGAAAAATTATTTCCAGCAATACATTTTTGAAGAAAAAAATTATTACTGGCAATAAAAGTCTTGTTGGCATTAAATAATTCATTATGGTGTTGATATGCCATAAAACAAAACAATTCAAACTCTTCACATTTATTTCTCTTTCTGAGAAACCCGCTACACATTGAATGTTTTACTACAACACAAAAAGAACTAAATAAAACGTTTGCTTATTTGATTGTTTTGTCCTTTCAGGTATGGAAGGAAGAAAAGCATATGAGGAAGCCCAACTTGGCTGTCACGGGTTCCAAGGTTTACATGTACGGAAATAAGGGTCATAGTACATACATATATTGTGTAATAATGTGTGAATGCTGGACAAAGCACTACTACTAGTATAAGAACAGCAACAGCTATAACAACATTTAATTACGAGGGCAATTACTACTACTACTACTACTACAAAAACATTACAATCAATCAACAAGAATGTCTTTTAGCAGATGGATGCATAGCCAAAGTACTGGCTACTTTCACCATTTTATTTTTTGACTAGTGGTCAATCTGACGAATTACTCAAGCCATGACAGTGACCACAGGAACTGCAATTGTCTCCTTTTGCAGTTGTCACAGGTGATGTGGAATATGAATATACAGAAATGAAAAAAAAAGAAACAAAACTGTGGCCATCCCTTCCTTGTATCTACACAGCCTCCTAGCTAAAATACTGGCCAAAAGACCACCACCACTTTAAATGTCTGCTTGACCAGCCCCCACACTTATATATGCATTCTTTTTTTAGTTGCTAGTCTGTCACCCAGCCTGCCATTTGTCTCAATTCCTTGCCCGTAGTTTTGGACACTTGACACTGGGCCTGCAGCCAACTGTGCTATGGGTCTTATTGTTACTCTTGACCACCAGTATCCGTATGTCATCCAAGGTTGGGCTAAAATTTTCTCCAATGTCCAGCCAAATCCGATCCCACTACCAACCCCAAGCAACTACCCCACCACCACATGCCAGCTCCCTTTTCTTTAGAAACTACTTCCTTCTCTCGGCTTTCCTCTCTATTATCATGACTAATTCAACTGGCCAAGGATTCTCTACTGACCATCTTCACAATTATGGATGATAGATATTACTTTTTTTTTTTTTTTTTTTTTATTGTTTTAGGGAAGAGAAAAACAAAACAAAACTAGATTTTCAGTTATGACATATGCTTATATATCCAGTAACATCTAATCCCCTTATAATAGTGCATACAACATACAACATTTTTTTTGATTATTTACTCATTAACAGATTGCTTCACACATTTCAGTACGATTTTCAAAATGGGCGTTTGATTTTCTTCGATGCTCCTGAGCTTTGCAGATCGTTTTCATGTTTTTCAAAAAATGTTAAAGTTTAAAATAATCAAAAGAATGCTATTTTCAAGTGGATTAAAATCAGCTCTTTTAAAAGTATTTAAAATTGAGCACTCATATATACAGGAATTAAGAAAAGAATATACAAATCACATATACATACATACATACATATATATATATATATATATATATATATATATATATATATATATATATGGATTTTATTTTTAATCTGATATATTTTTATTACTTCAAACGTTATTTTAGTGGATGCCTGTATTTGAGTAGATGTTCTGGTTATTTTAAACGACATTTACTTCATTTGCCAGTTTGCATACTCAAGGAAACTTAATAAAGGGCACCTTTTCTTTTTTAAATATTCCCAAGTATGTTGGCTGGTAGACAAAATAAATACTGTTTAAGATGAACAGTGTATCTACTCAAATACAGATTTTCAGTAAAGATAACATTTGAAGCAATAATATATATATATATATATATATATATATATATATATAAACACATAATGTCAACTCGTGCTTATTTACTTTGTGAACCCTTTTTTCATATAAATTTAAAATAATATGAAATATATTAAAATACATTTAAAATATTATTGATGGTAAATACTAGATTTTTCTGAAGAAATGTTAATTTTGGCAAACTATATTTATATGCATAGATATACTTGTATGTTGATATTACTGAAATATATGAATACCAATTTAGTTTGTTATTTAATATTAATAGTAAAATGTTAGGCATGACAAATAAAAATGAAATCTGCACAAAAATTCTTTTCATCCTGAAAAATAAAACTTACACAGCCTCATTTTGTTGGTGAAATAACAAAAGTCTGTATTAGAGATTATATTTTCTGTTATCTTGTCAATTCGTATATAAATGCAACTGTATATTAGTATCATTTAGTTATAAAAAAAGTGCCAATTTGGTGCGAAAATACTTATTGGTACTTTTATAATCAGTAGTAGAAAAGGGCAAAAAACAAAAATACAGGTATATATCAAATACACAAAAGTTGAGAATAAAAAAAATGCTGTTGTATGTTTCATAAATTGTTACATTGATCTGTAAGTAAATAAGACACAATTTAGTCTAATCAAAATCCTCAGTAGAAAAACAGATTACAGTGTTTTGATAAACAAGCTTTGATTTTTCGGTGGCATAGGATTCTTTTTTTTCTGAATGATTTCATTGAAAATCTCATTTCGTTTTCGTGTTCAATCTCTTCTTGCCCCCGAAAATATTCAAATTGATTTACATTAACCATCATATAGAAAGATTTTCTGCTGTTTAACATCTGTCATCTTTTGGTCTGCTGCCATCTTAACACTGTAATCAATAACTGCTTTTCTAGTCAGAATCATTTACCATAAATTGTGGCACACAAGTTAACCTCAAGAATTTTGGCTCAAAATTCTGAGGCTTATACATATGGTACATTGCAATTTATGGTCTATATATATATATATATATATATATATATATATATACACACTTAGAGGTAAATTAGTTCTATTGCTGGATGTGTCATGTCATTAAAAACATCAGCTTTTCGGCTACAGTTTTACAGTGGAGCATTAAAACCAATTTGATAGCTGTTTGTAATTTCTATTTCAAGTGGCTTCTTTACTTAATACCAATATGGCAGAAGACAGGGAACTTTGACTCCTCAGGCTGCTTGAGGCTCTTTGGTTTGTCTCCCCAAAAGGGCTATCTTCATCTTAAATAAATCTTCCTCAGTACTATGTTCCTCGATTACCAGACTCTCTTTCAAAATGACATTATTATATATATTACTCCAACATAAAAGGTTTAGCTGAAAACCTTATATATATCTACATATATATCTATATATATATATATATATATATATATATATAAAATTTATGAAATGGATTAAATCTGACATATTTTAATTTGTTTTGCTTAAACATTATTTTAGATGGCTACTCATATTTGAGTAAATGGTCTGTTTATTTAATTAAACAGAATTTTTATTTAATTACATTTACTGGCCTGAATATTCAAGAAATCTTGTCAGAAAATATGTGTCCTCCAGCAAGATTTGAACCTGCATCCCCTATGGGGAACCACCATTAGATCTGACATGCTTAACCGATTTGGAACACACTTATTTTCTGACATAAATTCTCAAATATTCCAAGCCGGTAAATGTAATTAAATAAAAATTCTTATTAATTAAATAAACAGACCATTTATTCAAATATGAGTAGCCATCTAAAATAATGTTTAAGTTAAAATAAATATATATATATATATATATATATATATATATATATATATATATATATATATATATATATAAAATATGATACATTTATAAATTTAACATGTTTGCTTTTATTAAAAAACTTCATGAGAGAATGAAGGTGAAACTTGTTAGATTTATAAGTATTTCTTATATTTTATCGGATTCTTACACCAATTCACACACTCTCTCTCTCATACATTTACACACACACACACAACCCCATCTTCTATTTTTTAAATCATTTTTTTTTATTTTTATTCTATTTGATGTATGATTCTTTTGGCTGATATATATATTTTTCTCAGGTGTATACAATGAAGGATCACACCAGGTGACACCCTTCTTTGTGCATGCTTTCATCCTCCATATTAACCATGAAAATCATCACTCCAATCAGCAACAAACCTGACAACACAGATCAATATCTTAAATATCTAGAAGTCAAGGAAAGAGAGATATATTTTAAAAAAAAAATAAATAAAAATTGGAGAAAGACGGTGGGGTCAGGGGTTAAAGTGGAACGAAAGGTCCCTCTTATCGTTAAACAAGAGAGAATAGTTAAATGATAATGATTTCGAATTAATAAAGGCTACCAAATGATCAGATTTGTGCAAATCGCTGTAACATTACAGCATTTTTGTGTATTTTTATTGTTTTTAAAAGAAAAAGATTGAAAAAATAAACGAAAAATGCCAATCAGAACAAAGTATTGATGCTAAAACTTTTTTTTTTTAGCTTAGATGAGACAAATCAAAAAAATGATTAATTTAAACAAAAAAAAAAAAAAATTAACTAAATCTTAAAGAATTTTTTTAAAATTCAAAATGGAAAAGTTAAAAATAAAACTTCTCATGCATATATTTATTTGCAAATGTCTTTATCACTGTCTCTTTATGTATGTAAGTATAAACTTACCTGCCTGTTTGTGTCTACTACGTAGATTCATTTTAACTAAGTCAACTTTCTTTTTCTCTTTTCAATTAAACGTAAATAATCTTTTCTATCTCCTGCAAACTCCCTAAAAATAGTTTTTGATTCTTTGTTGACACCGACAACCAATGCCATGATGTCCGGTCACTAACTATGAACTTTTGACTTATTGCATCTCACTACTATGTCTACATATTTACTTACTACCAATGCTAATACGACTAGTACTACTATTACTACAAGTATGACTAAAATTTTTTGTTCTTGAAAACTGAAACCAAAATTTCAACAGGCAAAGACATATTTCACAAGAAATGTTCATCATTTCAAATCAAAAAGGAAAAAAAAAAAAAGAATTAAGAATTTTTTTCTTTCATAATTTTTTTCTCAAAAAAATGCTTTGATGATTTTTTTGTTGTAATTATTGACGAAAAACAAAACAAAAAAAACAAAAAAAAGAAATCAAATCCAACTTTTTTTCTTTCTCTTTCTCTCCCCCCTCCCTTTTTTTTTTTTAATTATTGGAAAATAGAAAATAAAAAAGAAAGTAAGTTGTGTACAAAAAAATTACAGAACAAACAAAACAAGTTAAAAAAAAGACCAAAAAAAAAAAAAAAATTAAAAAAGGAACTGAAAAAAAGAAGAAATTAACAAAAAAAAAAAAAAAAAAAAAGGACTTAAATATTTTGTTTAATTGTATTTGGTCCATGTGCTGTGTTTTCTTGAGCTGATGTCAAATTGTTGATGAGTGGAAGAAAATTGAAACCCCAAAAATCAAAACCCTCCTTCTGAATGATCTTGTGTGTCTGTTTTCAATGTCAATATCTGTTTTGTCCAAAAAAAGAAAGAAAAACAAAAAGAAGAAAAAAAACAAAGACATAAAAATGGAGACTTCAATGAAATTGGAGCATAGGGGGTGGGGACAGTGAAACAACTTAGAGGGATTAAAATGAACAATTTGTTGTTGTTGTCGTCAATGTTGTCTCCACTTCCTTCTCCTTCAACAGGGAATGAAAAAGAATGAATGAAGGAAGGAAGGAAGGAAGGAGAGAAAAAAAAATACAAACAAACAAATGTGTACAGACTGTGTGCAGAAACAGTTGGGATTTCATGAGAAAAAATTAAATGACAAAAAAAAAAAAAAAAGAAAGAAAGAAAAGAGATAAGAAGTTAAAAAGAAAATAAAAATGACTAGTGAGAGAATTCTTAGTCTGGGATAAGAAAACACAACAACAACAGCAACAACAACATAATAAAAGACAGAAAAATGATTTTAAACAAGTCAAAGAAAAAAAAGGAAAAGAAATTTCCAAATCTGAAACTCTTACACAATGTAAATATTGCAATAAATTTACTGTTTACATCAATGTCTCTTTTTGTTTCTTTGTTGTCTGTTTTTTTTTTGTTTTTTTTTTAAATTTCAATAGAATCCAATGATTAAACACTGAAGCTTTCCTACTTTGGACTAAAATTTGAGTAAAGT